TCCAATGGATTGATTCACTTTTTTATTTACCTTTATGCTACTGGGCTAGAAATTAAAATAATGGTCTGCCTCTCCATCTAGTTTGCTTCGTTTTCTGCCCTAATGTTTTTGGTGGCATAACTAGCCTGAGAGACCCTCCCCAGAAAGGGAGAGGTGATGCACAGCACAGTTGGGCGTTGGAGGTTGGAGGATGCCCATCTCACTTTTCCTCTGTTAGCTGGGGTGCCTGCTATTTCCAGGTGCTGCCCTGTTCCTGAGGGACACAGCTCTGCTGAGAGCTTGCAGGTTCTGCCTGCACCAGGAGAAGACTGGTGGGGCATCCACTGGGACACAATGGGTGAGATTACACGGGGTTTGTCCTGGTTGTGATCAAGCAATGGGTCTGCTCAGTCCTGCAGTGCTGCTGATGCCCTTGGACACATCTGCTCCTCCATGCCTCCCTCCATGCACAGCAGTGCCATTGCCTCTCTCCTGACTCACTCGTAACACACTCTGTGTGTGCACACTCTGCTCAGGTCACTGTCACAAGTCACCCCTGCAAAGGAACCTTTGTGAAACCTCAGTAAGAAATTCGACTTTAATGTCATGGCTTGAGGGATGGAGATTTTCAGAGATTACAGCAAGGCAGCTATCATGACCAGTGATCCCCAAGGCTATTTTAACAGGAATAATGAATATAAGCAATCACTTACAAATAGGTTTCTTCCCAAAAGCCTGCAGAAAGTTTCCCTTTCACTTCTTGTTGGTTCAATGCCACTGGAGCACTCAATGAGACAGAGTACAAGTAGCAGCACCTCAGTGGAGCCCAGTTGCTCTGTGAGACAGCCGGAAAAATGAATTCTGAATTCTTCAGGACATTTCCAGATGACAGTTTGGGAAGGGAAGGCAAAACCCACAGTCTGCCTATATGTAAAATAAAGTGGAAAATCTCAGGCCATCTGTGCTTATCCATGCACGGACAGGTTAGAAGCTGAACCTAGAACAGCTCATTCAGTACCTGAATTTCCTTTGTTGCTTTTTAACCCTAATAGCTCTTTAATTAGTGTCCTTATTTTCAAATCAACTATACATTTGTGTCATATTAATTAATATTCATTGTCACTGGAGAGGTATTAAATGCATTTTTACCTCTGTTTCCAAGGGAATATATGCCAGCTGAGAGTACTATTATCTGATTTCAGCCTGTCCTCAATACTGTAATACTATCAAAGCCTATTAGAGAGGACTCCCAGATACAAAAAGATAACAATGACTGATTATTTATTTGCTTTATAGTAGCACTTAAGGATTCCTGCTAAGATCATGGCTCTGCTGTGCAAGGCTTTTTGCAGACTATGGCACAAGAGGTGGCCTTGCCTGACAGAGCTGACACTTGAAATAAGAAACAAAGCAAAGTGCTGCAGCAAGGATGTAGCAGAGGAGTATGTGGCCATTTGAGTGTTCCTTAGTTCCTTGGAGGGTTTGTGCAAACAAAAGAGGGGATAGGAGGTAATGGGGGAAGAGACGGAAGGTGAGGGTGAGACAACCCTTACAGAAGAGATGAAAAATCCCACAGAACTGGAGTCTTTTCTGGTGCTTGGTACCAGTACCCCCTGCTAGAATTCTCAGGGTGGACCCAGCATAATCTCTTACTGGATGCTGCTGGTGCCTCAGGCACTGGAGATGCTCCAGTGTCTGCTTTTAGCTTACAGTGCTGTGATCTTCTGAGGAAAGGGGCAAGAGCAAGGCCTAATTAAGTGCATTGGAAAAGAAGGAAGCAATTCTTCAACATTTTTACAATGGATCTGTACAGGAGAATACAGATAAAAAATACTTGCTACCTCTCATGGACCCCGTGCATGGGCACACATGGGCATGGTGAGCAGGGCAGGGCTTGCCACCAACCATTTCACACAGAGATCTTACGTGAGAAGGGAAGGCACTGTAGAAAGTTTTCTGAGCTTGCTAGCTTTGACCTCTTTTTGTAATTTTATTTTCCATCTCCTGAGCCTCCCTTGTACCTGCAGCTGAGAGACTGAGTCTACAGCAAGAAACTGAGCTCACAGGGAATAAAACAGAGTAAAGGGCCTCCCACTCTTCAGCTTCAGTGTCACCTGTGTGCAGACTCCAAACCTTAGCATAAGGCAGACAAGCAGAGATTAATTAAAAATAATGTCATCATGTGTCCTGCAGAGCAGACCAAAGCAGTGGCATGGGCAGCATGGAGAAACCTTATAATGACTCAATTGAGATGCTGTCAGGATTGTAGTGTCCCCTCGTGGGTAGTTTCCCCGCCTTACTGGTGCCTCCCTTGTCCCTGATATCACTGAAGGAGCACACCCACTGCCTCACTGAGGAAATGTCATTCTTCAAGTGCTTCTTTTGTCCCGAGGTCAGCAGAACAAATGATGTTGCAGTTTGTGGGGAAATTGAGAGGAGGCGAAAGAGCCCTGCCTGACAGAGTACATGCCATGCCATGCCATGCCATGCCATGCCATCCCTTCCTGTTGCAGCTCTCATCCTACAACCACACTGAGTGCAAATGCATGTATGGTTAAGCTGTGCACTTGCACTAGGCCCACCAGTATCTTACACTTTCTTATCTACGTTCATTCCTCTGGGGCCTGCAGATGCAGCTGTCCACTGTTCAGAAAATATCAGGCTGGGCTATAATTTCGATAAATGTGATTGAATCCCATGCTTCTGAGCTTCTCCTGGCTTCTTGCAAGGGCTGGAATGAGATTTTTCCCACTTCTGTCCTGGCAGTAATGCTAGCTGGGCTCTCTGGAAAGGTATGAGTCTGTACATGAAGTGTAGAGTCAAAACTGGGAGTCTCCTGTGCTCCAGACTAGTTGGGGTGAGAAAGCTTCACATTCTCCCATGCCAGCACCGAAGGCATTTGCCTTCTGAAAGACAGACACCTCTGGGTACAATTTCCCTAGCTGGTTCCCTCCTGTCCTAAGAAGTCTAGGCAGCAGTGTTTCCTTCTTTCTTGTCTATGACACTGATCTAGAAGGGATAAGATCAAGCTCTTGGGTTAGTATAAAAAACCTGGGAAGAAATCCTGGGGGGAAAGTTTTCACTCTGAGTACATACATGAAAGTCCTGGGCATCAGTCCAGAAGAAGGAGGCAAAGAGTTTATAGGTCTGGGAGAGGGATCAAAGAAACCTGTAGCAGCCACGTCAGAACAGGAGGAAGACTTAGCACCTCTAATAAAGACTCTTGGGAATACATGTCACCACTGGTGCCCTCACCTTTGAGGGCAGCTGTAACCTTGACTCCTGCCAGCTGAGCTTCTGGCTGTCTCCTGACAGTCCCTGTCCAGCTGCCAGTGTGCACATCTGGGGCAGGGTGAAAGCCAGAGCAGCTGCTGGAGGGCAGGCACTTACCTGCAGGGTGCAGGGGCAGGAGCAGTCCTGAGCAGCCTGGCTTTGCAGTTCCATGTCAACTGAGAAACCTTCTTGCATCCAACCTCCAGGGATGCAACACTGGCCTGTGCAGGACCCTGCCTGAGTGGCACCCAGGGAAAATCACCCCACCAGCCATATCCAGCTTTGTCTTTGTATTGCCCAAGAGCCAGGAAAAAGATAAGAAGAAAATTAGCTACAGGTATGACACTTTCCTACAACCAGCTGGTAAGTGAACTGGGTAGACAGACTTTGTTCTACTTTTTTGCCTTACTGGCCAAGAATCCAGCCGAGGGCTTGGTGCAATAATGATTGCCCTAGAACTGAAATAATGTCTCTCTTCCCCAGAATAAGGAAAAACTGTCCTTTTCTGTGGTGTCCAAAAAAGCTCAGCTCCCAGGTGTTTTTATAGCCCATGGCATGCACAGCTGTGCCTCCTGAGGCACTTCTGGTCTGAGGTTTCTCAACAGGGTTTGGCAAAGCTGGTGCTGGCAACCAGTTGGCATACAGGGCACCAGGAAACAGCTTTCCTGAACCTGCTCCTTTTTCTTTTAGTCAGACAAGGGATCACCTCCTGGCTAGAGGTGCAGGATGAAACCATGGGAACAATGCAGGGCATTTGCACATCATAGGCCACCATCTCCTCCTGCGGGAAGATGTCTTGGATGAGCCAGGACAGCCTGTCTCTTAAGAGAAGGAGCTGTCAAGGCTGAGGAGTGCTGCTGCTCTTGGGTGCATCGGCAATGAGCGCTTGCCATCTGCTGGGAGGCGATCAGCCTGACAGGTGACAGTCTGGCAAGGGCTCTTGGGTGTAGAAAAAGGAGAAAGGTCTGTGCCAGCGGTCCCTGGAGAGCTGGGTGGTAATTTGGCCTTGCAAGAAGAGGGTAAACACAAAGCAGTCAGGAAACTCCAGTCTTGGACAGATGAGGGCTGACGGAACTCACTGCAGGGTTTTAACATGCTAACGTGTTAAAATGAGCCCTTCTTGGAGGTGCCTCACCCCACTGCAAAGGTAGCAGAAGGCAATACATGTTTGTGTAACTAATGCATCTCACCTCACTCATTAGCAGCAGAGCCCTGGTGTGGTGGCATCTTGCATTCCCACAGCACAATTTGCCAGCATCTGTCAAGCTGTGTGCTGTTCACAGCAAAGGCCACTCCCTGTTACAGCTTCCCCCACCTCTCCCTTTGACATGTTCTCAGGGTTCAGCTTTTTGTTATACCACCAGCACATCCAGCCTGACTGGCATGGAGTATCCCGGTCCCTATTGTGTCAACTCCTGGGAACGCACATCCAGCTGGAGAGTCCTCAGTTTCCCAATGAGATTATATGAATGTCTACAAGCAGATCTCAAGGTCTTGAAAATCTGGTCTATTGATAGGTGGACTAAACCTTCCCTTGTAATACAGGTATTGGTACGCCTGGGTGTAAGTCATATTTGTACACTGTATGATGTTGATCGTATTATCAAAAGCAGCATCAACCTTCTGGGCCTGCTGTCCCATTGCTGCACTGAATGAGATTGTGCACAACAGGATCAGAGTCAGGGAAAGTTCTGGGATGTTACTCTTCTGGTATGGAAACCACCACGGGAACTTGACAGTATACAGACTGTATTTTTGCTCTTTTAATTCAGAAAGGTAAGAAACAACAGTGGCAGCATCATATTTCTTTAATTTGCTGTATTTCATGACAGAGAAGGCCCAAACTCCTATTAGGTATCTACATAGTTCTGGAAGGCAGCATTTTCATATGGTAGTTTTTTCCCCAGCAGAGCCCAGCTGCAAGCCCACATGCAGCAAGCAATTCAGGCACATCTGCAGAAGAAGGGGGTGCAGGACCTTCTCCTGTCTCTGGCTCAAACTGCAGACACATTACTTCAGTGGCAACACCATTTTAAGCAGCATTTAGCTCAGGCACTTATTTCCAACCCTGCTGTACCTACTAGACCATCTGGTCCAAGTCCTACTGTAGCTTTGTGGTAAACCAGACGGGGAAAATGATCCAGATTAAAATAAACACAGCAAGACTCCCCTGACCAAAGAACAATGTCTCAGAAGAATGAACACAGGCCGTGTGGAGGGGTAGGAGGAAACAGGAGATTCCCTTTCTACAGTGTGGACTGGCAATCTACACTTTGCATAATTTCAGAAGAAAAGTGGAAGAGACTGAATAAAAATGAGGCGGGAGAAACAGGGGGAAGTAGTGGCCTCAGACTGATATTTTTGTTCAGATTGTTCCTATCAATTGTTCTTGTTTAGAGCAGGGATGGAAAAATTGCTTTGACAAAAGACTATCTCCAAACATCTCTTCCTAAGTTCAACCCAAATCTGTGCTCCACTCTTTTCTGATTTCATTCTGTAAGTAGAAAACTTCCCAAACAAGGGCTTACTTTAGACCATGTTGTGTTATAAGTAAACTTAGTGAAAACTATGAGCTGAGATTCCAGTGGAGGTTTGTGTGGACTTCCAGGGATACTGCAGTGAAAGGATGTTCTTTTCCAAGTCTGGTCAGAATCAAATAGCCCCCCAGGAAAATTACAAGCTTGGCAATTCTGGGTACGCTTCCAGCCTGAAAATATTCATTAGAGTGACTCTCCTAAGGTTTTCTTCAGTACATTATGAGGAAGGCTAGAAATAATTTCAGTCTAGTAATCCTCTAAAGGGACCTGCCAAATCAAACCTTTGATTAGTGTCAAGATCTTCAAAATCAGAAGAAACACTAACAGTAGCATGTCATGCTCCCCTCCTTGAGTAGTCACGCCTGGCAGCTTCTTGCAGAGCTCCTTGGCTTTAATTTACACATTACTCCATCTAGTGGCTTAAAGGTTCCAGCCTCCAAGAGTTTAAAACTCTGCCCTGGTACCAGCTGGAATTCAAACCTCTGCAGCAGTTTTGCCATCACCACTTTTGCCTCCATCTGTTAAGAAGAAAAGCAAATTCATTGTCAGTGACAGCATATAGAGCTTGGACTGCAGCTGCCTAAAGTCAGTGTATTATGTTATACTGTTCTGTCAATATAGAGATTTAAAAGTTAAATGCAGCCAGCTGAGTTTGGGCAGGAAACCTGGGACTTCATGGATTTGAAGACAAGTGACAGGCACGAGGATTGGTCCTTGTGTTTATGCATTAACCCCATTTTGGGAAATCAGACTGTAAAACTAAAACACTGAAGACTCTGAGCACTGGTGCTTAGATTAACCCACAGAACAGACCCAAAGAGCTGGCCTCCTGCTGTCCTGAAATGCTCTCTGCTATGCTCATATACATCATTAAATTGTTCCTCCCATCCATATAGCCCCCTCCTCACCTTCTCTGTGACAGTTCTGGCTTGTGTCCTTCTGCCAGCTGCCGTTTTCCCTGCCTTGATTCTGTCAGGGGTAGCCACGGGATGGTCCCCAAGACCCCCTGCACATCCCCTGTGTGTTTGACCTTGGCTGGCAAAGGGTTGTTGACTGTGATTCCCATCACATTTGGATTCAGGCAGGCTGATCCAGGACAGTTCAGAGGGAGTGCAGCCTGCTTGCTGCTCCTCCCTGCAGACACCTGCATGTGCACACCGGTGACGTGGGACCAGTTTGGCACACGGATGTGTGCTCATGTGACAGCATTTGAGAGATGGCCATCATGGGCATGGGGGAGATATTCCCTCTAGAGAGAAGGGGGTCAGTGCACCATTAGTGTGGCCTTTGGTCCCCCACCACCAGCCATGGCAGCACACCCTGAGTTGGCCCACTGCTTGCTATGGAAGTGCCGTTCCAGGCCTCTGCTTACCTGTGCAAACACCTGCCCGATGCAGGACCGGGATCCCAGAGAAAATGGAAAATAGCAATAATATGGCCTGCAAAGAAAAACATTCAAAATTGTCACTCTGACAACTTGATTGTAAGGAAACAAGCAAATATTTCATCACAACAGCAAGGAAATGGTCTAAATATCACCTCGCCTATCTGACTTGTAAAAACAGCCTCCAAATTACCTCTTTTTCACTTCAGAGCAGCAGTACAGCTCCACAGCATGTTTCCTCGAGATCTCTGCTTACTGTATGGCTCAACTCACAGAGCTGTTTTGATGTATGCCAATCTTATTTCAAAGCTGAATGTTAAGCACACTCCAAATGCTCTCCAGCCTGTCATGAGGATGTAACGATCTGCCCAATTATTGCTCCTTTGGGCAGCTCTGAACCATGTGAGGGAGGGGGTGTTTGGTTCAGGAGACCAGACTAACTCTAGGTTGAAGCAAAACTCCTGACTCGTGAAGTAGCTGCTGATCTCTGTATCTAACTGTTTAGTCACTGATCCCTCCTATTGCACTCCTGACCACTGACTAGCCTTAGGCTGCCTCCCACATGGCTGAACAGCATCTTCTGTGCCTCAGCCCCTTCTGCCCTCTCTAATATGGAGACACTTCAAGCATCCTGGGGCCAGGGCTGTCACATATTAAATGTCTGTATTGCACTAATGCAAATATTCAACCTGGTTTTGGCCCAAAGCTTTGATCTCAATATAAACATTAAATAACAATAGTATTGGTCTGTTTTTGCAAGGTATCATGTGGTCTAAAGAATTTTTGAACAAAAGCTGCACATTATTGCTCTCTATTTGCATTTGAATGATTTAGTCTTACTCATACTGGAATGGAAAAATAGTTTTAGTCAATTTTTTCCCCCTTGAAATATCTTCCTGTAATGGATCCTTATTAAATATTTAACAACCTGGGAGTAAAAAGAAACTCACTTAGGTGCATCTTTGCTGAATCGGTCTGGATTGAAAGTATATGGATCCTTGAAAAACCTTTCCATCCTTCCCATTACATAAGTGCTGAACTGTCAAGAAAGAGTTTACTTGTTTTAGTCAAGAGCAGCACACTGAAAATGCTTCTTTGCTGTCAGAGCTACAAAACCATAACTGCCTTCCACTCCCCAGTCCCAAATGAGTGTCCCAATTCACACCCCAGTTTTGGTCAAGATATTAGAGAGGCCAGCAGAAATACACCCTGGGAAGATTCTGGCCCTCTGATCCACAGATCCATTACATGTGGATGAACTCCAGCAGCTAACAGCTGCTGATGGTGGATGGGACTCACAACGAGCGTGGTGTTGGCAGGAATTCTGATGCCGTTGATGACGTGCTCCTTCTCCAGCCTGCGCACGGTCCCTGCGACGGGCGGGTACAGCCGCAGCGACTCCTTCAGAACCTGTGTCAGCAAAAAGCACAAAAGGTCACTTAGTTGATACAGTATAGGAAGCAGAAATAGAATTAATTACCTCCCTATGGCCTTTCACTTTGGATAAGTGGGAGATTTTGACTTTTGAAACAGATGCTGCTGTATCTGCCTTGGGCTCCTGTGGGCAAAACGTATGGCTAAGTCAGCTCCTTCAGGCCTAGTTCTTTCTTACAACTGGTAAAATACAGAGAAAAAGACACAAACCCCACAGGAGATCCCATGCATTAAACAAATCTAAAATCTCGAGTCAGGTCAACAACTAAGCGAAAAAGTAATAGGAAGCAAATTCAAAGGGAATATCTGAGTGAAGTGTCCTGGCCCTGATGAGCTGTTCTGGGCACTGACTACCATGAGGATGGGTGGTTGCTCCCACCTCCTTCCCACTCTCAGCACTGTGCTCCTGCTCCTGCCTTTGTCCTGTTTCTGCTGCTTGGGGAGCTGAGCCAGGTCAGAGCACCAAAAGGACAAAAAACAACCTGGCAAAGGAAAATGAATAGGGAATGTTGAGAAAAAAATGGAACAAGACCATTTCTTTTGGTGGCAGTGAGCTGTAAGAATGGCTTATTTCATCAAAGTGAAACCTAATTAACGGTGCACATGAGCATCACACCGAAAATGCAATTAACGGTGTGTATGCACGAGTGGACTAACAAAAAAGAAATGGGCACAAAAGGATTCAGAATTGCCTGAGCGACAGGAGAGGAGTCCCATAGTCTCTGATTCTCCAGTGATGGACTGGCTCTGACCAAGGGTGACTGATTTTGGTTGTACAGATCCAAGCTTGTGCTGCTAAATAAATGGTCTGCTTTGAGAGGCCCTCATGTGATGTGTCTTAAAACTGAAAGGATTAGATACCTCATCCTAATTGGAGTGGTATAATTGTGATGCTGTTTGGAGAAGCCTAAGGAAACCTGACGATTTCTGTAATCACACAGTTCCCTTTTCCTTCTGAGAAATACACCTATGAAATCTATCTGCTGTCAAAGCACAGTGATTTGTGGGATGCAATATGGCAAATGATAAAACTATTGCTCACCTTAGCAGGGCAGTTTAAGAGAAAAATGATCATGGCAGACTACTAAAATCACAGGGCAAGTTAAGCAGAATAGCTGCCAGGACTGTGAATCAGCCTCTCCTGAGGGCTACTGGTATCCCCTACCTTGTAAAAAAGGATATGCAACACAAACACTGGCAAGTAGCCAAACCCTGGCTTTGCAGTTCATTACCAACCAGCATTTCAATATGCAAGACCCCTTTTAGGACCAAACTCTCTCCCCCTCTTCAGAGTGATTGAAGAGGGTTTCAAGACTGAACAATGAAAAACTGTCACTACAAAAACTAGCCATTATTTTTGGCTGTCCTCAAATCCCATTGAGTTTATGGCACTTGGTGAGATCATAGCTGGAAATGCTTTAGCAATAATCAAACAAAAATAGAGCTGCGAGTTAGGGAAGTGTGTGGGATTCACACACAGGTTGGGCTCAAAGTTGCAAATCCTTCTAAAAATTACAGCTATGGTTTCAGCTTAAACAGATAGGGATTATGCAACTCCACTCTAGCTCGCAGTTTGGTAATAACTAAGGAAAGCATTGAAGGAATTGTGTGGGATGTTGCAAAGAAATTTGAGGAGCATCCTTCCCAACGAGGCTAGGCTGCTGCAAATGTCTCGTGATACCTGCTTGCTGACTCTCTGGGGACAAACATTATCAGGATAAAATATCTGTATTGTTTTCAAAATCTTAAAAGTGTGGGGCTCCTCCATGACATGTCAGAGGTGCTACCAAACAGTTCTGACTGGTATCTTACCTCACTCCTACAGTACCTGTGATAAGTAGGTGAGTTTGCCAAGATCCTCATAGTCAATGTCTCTCTTGGCACCAAGAACATCATCCACTTCAGCCTGAACCCTGCAGTTCAATTAAAAAATATTAGCTGTAGATGCCCATATCTTGCTAGGCAAGATTACATTTTTTACTTTCCAGACAGTAAGTTGGACTTGGACAGCCATCCTCAGGCAAAATGCCTACCAATTCCCAAGCAGGCATCCTGAACTTATACTTCTTATCAGGATGAAGCAATGTTCACACAGGGCAGCTGAACCAGGTGGGATTCAGGACCAGTATATATAAAGGTTTTGAAAAAAAATCACCTAGATGAAACTGAAATAATCCATCTTATGCTTTTTTTTTTTTTACATTTTAGATATATTGGGACTATGGAACTGTTTATTTTGGAAGGGAGGCTAGAATTCATTGGGAGTTGATCCTATCTTTTTAATAATCCTTATCATTAAGTTCATCTTGAAAGTAACAGCAAGCTGGGTTTTCAAATTGGAGCGCACATACCTTTCCAGTATTTCAGGATGCTGACCCAGTGCCATTACTGTAAATGACATCTGATTGGCAGTGGTTTCATGACCTAATGACACCAAAAATCAGTTTAAAGGTTAGCATGAAATAATGACAATGTACAAAGATGGTCTACTAGCTGATTGTGAACAGGAAACTTTAAAGGTTGGACCCCAAATGTTTTATTTCAAGTATGCTACAATTAAAGGAAATACTAAAAGGGATGTAAAGTCTACGTAGGGAACTTCCAAGAATGACAAGAACAGGACAGAGCTGGTAAAGATATGACTCATCTTGCTCAACTCAAAGCTGCACTGGCTGCATGCAGCACCTACTGGTTATGAGTTCCCTAACAGGAGGACCAGTGAGGTCCAGTATTTGCCTTGTTATATTATGGGACACACAGTTCTTCCAAAAAGCACGGATTTACTGGTTTTGAGGGAAAACAGAGCTTCCGACCATCTTTATTTGAAATGTCTGCTTTATGTGTTAGGGTGACCCTGCTTGACCAGGGAAGTTGGAGTAGAAGAATCTTTGAACGTTACTCATTCTGAGACTCTGTGATGTGGGTAGTTTTCCTTTTTTCATGGGTAGGCACACGTATTATTTTAACGCATTACAGAAAACAGACTCCTGCAAAAATGTATTTGTTTCAATAATGTCTTTCTTGCAAAAGAACAGCATTTTGACTTCACCTTCTTAGGAATCTAAATCCTATTGACCTGCAAGATGATGTTTATCTCACGTATTAAATTGGCCCATGTTTTTTCTGATAGGCTTGACAGTGCCTTCTCCTACCAAGCATTGACTAACACTTTTCAAGCAAGAATGGCATTTAATGATGTGGGTGAGGTGACATGAAGATATGTGGAATATGTTAAAGGTGCTTTCAGTGGGGTTTGGTGGGATCTGGGAGGAAGGACCAGAACCCAGCCTTGCAGCTCAGTGGGCAGTGGGAAGTCAGAGGTTGGGAACCAGAGTGGGAAGCCTGGCATTATTTGCTGTGTCGATATGACTGAAAGAGGATAACCTATGATTTGCCTTTGAGAAAACTGAAAGTTCTCTTCAGACCTTGCCCAGCTGGTCCTACGCCAGTGTAAATACTGCTGTCTTCCAACCAAGAGACTCCTGGATACAGCAGCATTACATGGAGTGAAGATGTTAATGATGATGTTAATCATGATTAGAAGGGTGTTAATCATGACCCAAGAATGAGTACAGCTTCCCGCATGACATATCCAAAAATAAAAATAGCTACCAACCTGCAACAAAGAAAGTGATAAAGTTATCCAGAATGTTTTCATCATCTCTAGTGTCCTCCAGAGCTGTCAAAATAGAAAAGCAAATGGGATTAGAAAATGCCCCCATGTCCCAGTTGGACCAGCCAGAGTGCTCTGCCCTGTTTGGCACATATTGGGTGAGGTGGCATCAAGAGGAGATGCTCAGTGGGTGTTTCAGTGGTGGTTTGTGACCAATATTTGATCCAACACAATGAAACAGGGGATTTTCAAAGCAACTCTACTATCTTCAGTGTGAAAAAGCCTTTAAAGGAGGATCAAAGTTCAGATCCCCAAAACAATCCTCCCCAAATCCCATGGCAAAACATACCACAGAGAAATTCACTCAAACAGCAACATGTCCCTTACCATCTCCTTTCAGTATCTGTGTAAGAATATCCAACGTGGCTTCCTTCCCATTCTGGAGAGCTTCTCTCCTCTGGTCAATGCACTCCTTCCCCACACGCCGCAGCAGCCTCACACTCTCCCTGACCTCCTTTACCAACTTCTGTTTCCCTGGCATGTACTGAATACAGAATTTCTTGAGTCATTTTATTCCTTTTGCTGGTAAGAAATAATTTCAATGCTATTTTACAAGGCAGCACCTTGTTTTCTGCTAAATGACACTTGTCACAAAAACATCTGCTCTCCACGGAACAAAGTGAACGCCCCCAGGATGAAGGGTTTGGGCTGAAATGAGAAATATTTCAGTCTGTGCATGCTGATGTCCTGTCTTATCCAAGCTGATGTTTTGGGCACTGTGAGCAAAATGCCTCACCTCTCCATGGAAAGAGACAGCAGCATGCAATACAGAATCTCACCCCTGGTCCCAAAAAGGAAAACAGGAGCTCTAAAAGCCTGAACTACAACTTTCATGAGACACTAGGATGATTTTTAACTTAAATATTTCATATTACATCCATAATTTCTTAGTAGATAAATTTGGGTTGAAAATATCATTTTTTAATGGCAAGAATGTTCAAATTTCTTCCACTTTGAGTGAGGGTTGCCATCCTGCTTGGACAAAGGGCAAAAATCTCAATTTTTAATGGGTCTGAAAGTGTAAAACCATATGAAAAGGAGACACATGCATGGGGGAAGAGAAGACAGAAAGGAAGCATTAAATGTTAATGTTAATTCTGCAAGTGTTTTAAAGCATTAGTGAATTTTATCTTGATGCACATTGGAGGGAAAGATCTACAGATGACTGTTTCCCCATCAAATATGGACCTTGCATGGCTCCCTCCCACTAACTCAGGAAGGAGCAGAGGCTCCAGCTGGATGTGAGGAGAGAGGACAGAAGTGAGGAGGGTACAGACCTGTATGAGGGGGATCCGTGACTTGGTCAGTCCCTCCAAAACCATGGTCACAGCGTGTGGTAAAGGCATCTGGTCATCACTCAGTGCGTTTAATTCCAAGCCAAAGGCTACCTAAGGAGCAGGAGAGAAAAAGGCAACTTGCTGCACCCTCCTGGCTCCCTGGGGCTGGGGTGAAAGAGCAGGATAACCTCATACCACCACCTTTTTCCCTAAAAATATCTCAGGCTAGATCCTGCCCTGCAGGAGACCATGAGGGGAGGGCAATACCTACATTATGCTTCCTCCTTATTTGGGGGGATTAATAATTTACTATTACTCTCCATTCATCCCAAACTGTTTTGCATAGATAAGGGAAAAGTCAGCGTAAGGCAGACTTCATGCTGACATATAATGGCAATAATATAACCCATGAATGAGCACTGGTGTGCCCCTTTTGTCATGGAGGGGTGGGAGGTGTGAGGATGAAAGGGCTTTTGCAAAGGGTCCCCATCCTGCAGACCACACTGAGACTGTGCACACCCTTCCCTATCTGCCCCTTCCCATGGCTCAGTCCAGATGGAAGTGGCACAATTAGTCCTTCAGCTCTTCTGGCACTGGTGAGGAAAGGTCTTTTTCCCTGGCTCCAGCTCCCTGCCTCCAGCTCCAGCTCCCATCCTGCTGCCAGTACACATTACTTCCATTCCTTCCTGCCATTGCAGAGGAAACAAGAAAGCGACAGCTGGTACCTTTGCAATGATATCCATAGTCACCCGGCACATCATCGACAGCATGCTAAACTCTTTTTTCCCATCTGCCATTTCCTCTAGCTTCTCCATCAGCTCCTCTGCTTTTTCATTAAAAGTTTCCATCAGACCAATCAGGTAGCTGAACAATCAATAAAGATGAGTAGTGGGGGTTCTGGAGAGGACATCTTTGCTCAGCCAAAATAACTTTATTTTCCATAGAAAATTGTAATTATTTTTTTTTTATTTATAATCAACTTGCCTTAATACTTAAAAAAGTAAATAGATAAAATGAGCTACATTCTTCTCACAGCAGCCCTGCTCTGCCCTGCCATAAAACAAATGTCTGTCATGGCAAAGGGCTGTGGCTTGTGCACACTGAAGCAAAGCATGTGGACTTCATCTTTGGACCTTACGTGCAGTGCATTGAGGCACACACAGGGAAACCAGACCAACCCTCTGCCTTACCCTTTCTAACAGGATAAGACAGCCATAACCACACTCCTGCATATACAACCTCAGGACCTTTCTGCCATTGCTGAGCTCATAGGGGTGTCACTGCTCCATGGGAAGTCTGGTCAAATTACACTTGGCATGGAAATGGTGTCCTAGACTTAAGTAAAATGTAATTTTGGCACTAACTGTCTTTTTTTTCCCCCTCTAAATATCAAATAATGACAGGGAGAATCATGAAAATACAGCAGAAATAACAGCTAGCTCATCCCAGAAATATCTGCCTTACGTTCGGCTGAAAGCTGGATCCATTATCCTCCTCTGCTTATGCCAATGGTCATGGTTGCAAACAGTTACCAAGCCATTCCCCAGAAACCTAGAATGCAGGAAAACAAGGAAAGGAACAGTTTTCAGCAAGGGAGCCAGCTGAACCCCATGTAGTCACACAGATAAGTCTTTCACATCTACTTTCTTCTATTTTGCCCACGTATAAGGAGCACTGTGACACTTCGAGTACTGCAATCATTGTGTGACTCTGGACAACAACTAAACCACAAATATGTTTTGCTAGGTACGTGTGGACTGCTGAGTCCAATAAGATGCTGGTTCATTACAGCTGATATACAAAGAATTAATATAATAACGGGATTATTATATTTTTAAAAGTTTCAGCCTAACAAAGAAATCCCCTTTTTTTGTGATTGAATTCAGGAGCTGCAAAATCCCACCCATCAAGGACTAACTCAGTGCTCTAAAATCTAAGTAAGAAGTTTGATGATGGTCTTGAGCAGACTATTCTGAGACTAACTGAACATCGCCAGGCAGGAAAAAAATGTATACGATCAAGGTAAAACAAATCCTCCTCCCTGACTGGGAAGACATTTGACTTCACACAAAAATTATTAGATACGTACTGCTTACGTATGTCTGGAATTAGACATTAATCCCCACACTAAGGTCTGAGTCAAAATAAGTGTTCACCTGTGGTGTTATTAGTCTTGCACTTATTTACAGATCACAATGGCTTCAGATGGGTTTTGCCTACCTTTCACCAAATAGGCTGAAGATACGATCGTACACCAGCCGATCCTTTGGGTACTGTGGTGACATCAAGAACTCCTAAAATCGAATCTCAGGTCAGTGAATACTGAGTGCAATCTGTTTCCCAGACAAAACATAAAACTTCACTCACACATTTACTGTGTTCCTTCTGTAGCAATAGTCTGAGGAGCAGATGAATTATTTGGTGTGCCCTGATTCCCCAGTTCCCATGCTACTAGCTTGTTTTGCATGCCTCTAGCACTTTTTTGCCCAATGACCTGAAATCTCACTCTCTGGTAATTGCAAAGATTTAGAGAAAGAAATTCAGTCTCTTGTGCTTTGTTCATTTGAGATATTAAGCTCTTGCAGAGGGACTACTTTTCTGAAATGGTGGGTGTTTGCTATACGTGCTGTTTAAATAAATGTGACAAAGTAAATTAACTGATCAAGGAAGAAAATAAATCAGGACAGCCCAGAGGGCAGAACACCTCATCCTCCTAACCCTGCCAGACCCAAGCACAGACTGGCTGCTTCATGCTGCCCTGAACATCAGGCACTAGCTCCCTCCTTATGGAGGGAGAGGCTGATCCCCACTGTTGATGTGACTTTATTTTTTGAGTACCTTCACTCCTTCAGGACTCACAACCATTACTGTCACTCTGTGAAAGGCATTAAATCGTACAATAGGTCCGTATTTCTCTGCCCTGTAAGAAGAGAAGATTAAAAAAAAGAGAATTATGGTACAAGCAATCAACATGTAACAGTTGCAACCTAATAACCTCAAAGGACCAGAGCACACTGCAGTGGGAACTACTGCAGTCTAAAGACAATAGGAGAATTGCAGAATCATCAAGGTTGGAAGAGACCTTCAAGACCATCTAGTCCAACAGCCAACGCAGCAGCACCACCACAATTACCCCTAAACCACGTCCCCAAGTGCCACATCCAGACGCTCCTTGAACACTTCCAGAGACAGTTACTCCACCACCTTCCTGAGCAACTTATTCCAATGCCTAACCACTCTTGCAGCACAAAAATTTTTTCCAATATCTATCTGACCTGAAAGATCAATGCTCTCTCTCTGGCTCCTTTACTGACCTTCTGAATGATGCCAGTTGCACAATTCAGGGTCTCCATGCCTTGATTTCCCCACTTGTTCTACAGGGTTACCCCATTCAATGTTATTGATGTGTCTCAACTTACCACTGCAGGAAGAGATCATGAACAAACTCCTGTTTCTTCATCATTCTCCATAAGATTGGGAGGTGTCCAAATAAAAAGCTGCAGAATATGAAGATTAAGAAGGTCACGAGGATGTCAACACTGGGTTTTATATGGATTGCAATCCTTGTTGCTCAGTGAGTGTTCCTCAGGTTTCACTTGTAAGGAAAGATGAAAATAACTCCAAGCTATGCCAACGCCCAGCCCTCATCACATTGGTAAGCTGGGGACCAAGGTCAGGCTGGCGTATGCACACAGCCAGGAACACCAGTGCAGAGACAAAGGATGAGGTCTTTTTTGCTGCTGTTTTATAGGAGAAGTTTGGGTCTGGGTGGGAGCCCCCCATGAATTGGTTTGCCCTTTGTCTAGCTGATCGAATTTTGACTGCAACTATTATGTTTCTGTACATAAAACAGATATTTGGATTAAATATCCTTTAATATGTGCTCAGCTCTAAGGGTAACTTCAGTTCTGGCAGTGGAGTTCTGTTAAGCAAAATTAGGAACCTTCTGCATAAAGCTATGTTACTTTAAATGCCGGGGAAAAAAAAGACCTAGAAATATAATCACTGGTTAATATGGAAACTGAAGACATTAATGAAAAAGGTTAACTCTTCAAATACAATAGCTGAATTAAAAAGTTAGAGATCAACTCCTTCTTCCAACTGAGAGCAGTGAATTCCCACAGGCTTTGTGTAAATCTGAAGGAAGATTTGGCCAAGCTCCTCTCTAAATGAAGCAAGCTGCACTCAAGATCTGTTTTCCATTTGAGAGACAGAGAGCCATGCCATCATCCTTTTCAGTATAAATAAGCTAGAGGGGACATACAGGCTCTTATTTTATTACTGTTGGAACTGGGAGGCACATAAAATAATAAGGACTCAACAAAGATACCCAACATCTACAGAAACTTTTAATTCTCTACTTGTTTGACTCCTCCATTGTAACTGGATTCTGAAAAGATGTGACAGCCCCAAATACAACGCAAGTCCTTTGTTAGCTAAAGCTCTGGAAACTGCTCTATCTGCAGAGCAGGAAAAAAGGTCCCACTCATGACTCCTCTTGTGTGGCACATAAATCCTCAGAGATATTTTTCATTCCCTCTCCCATCATCCAGTTAAGTCAGGTGTTACAACAGGCCTAAAACATTTATCCACTACTAAGAAGACCCAGTAACTTACTGCATGTCATGAAAAAAACTAAGTGTGGGTTTGTTTTGGGATATATAACTACCTGACACTATCAACTGAAAACATGTATTTACAAAGAAATCCCTTTTTCCCATTTCTTGTTATTCAACCTTTAATATCAAGTCAACCTTTGAAGAGGCAACCTCCTCTCTACAGGTGAGCCATTCATGCAGAAAAAAATAAAACAAAGCCACTATGACCACTAGGACTCAATTTTCCAGTCTGTCCTGCACAATTTTCCTTGAGAGATGTGCTGTGCTAGTTCTGATAAAACAAATGGGCTCAGGGAATCAAGGGCATTAATGTAATCTTGTCATCAGGCAGCCATAAGACTTTAGACAAGACTTTGATAAGATCCTGTTGTACTTCATCCTAAAATAAGGCTTTCTTAAGCTTTTATCAAAGGGAAAGAGCCAAGGGCAAAGGGAAAATCCTGCTTCTGGGACAGAATAAAGCCTTGAAAGGATGCAGGCTGTGGACTGGCTGGCTGGGAAGCACATCTGGTGGGCAGCGAGCTGGACACAAGCCAGCCTTTGCTTCTGGTGCTGCTCTTCTCCAGTTTTCCAGATACAGTATCAGATGAGAAGCGTTTAGATTTGAGTTACTCCCATTTCAACGTAATCTGGGTTGGCAAGGACCTCTGGAGGCCACCAGCCCAGTCCCTTGCTCCAGGCCAGTCAGCATCAGACCTCAGGGCTGCACCCAGCCATATGGACCAGCTTTTGAGCACCCTCATGATGAAGGTGTTTCACCTTACACCTCAATGGCCTTAAGACAATTCGTGCCATTGCCCTGAAAACAGTCATTGGATTCCCTCTGCCCTTCAGTAGCTGCTTCTCTGCCGAAAGCCAGCCCAGCTCTAAGCCTCCTGGGCACCCCAGCTGCCTCCACTGGACTCCTCTCAGTTTGCCAATGTCTTTCTTTTACTGGGGAGACCACCACCATCAACACACACAGCATCTGGCTTTACCTCTTATTATTTTTTTTATAAACAACTTTTCAGAGCTGGAGGTATTTGATTTTTCTTACCTTGGACATTTAGGAGTGGGAGTGTTTGTGCAACAGGTACTGAAGTGGGAGTTTTGGATTGTACCTGGTAATTTGTACTTTTGAAAAGCCATCAAGTGCTGTGGGCTCACATGACATACAAGCTTCCACTTAGACTAACCAGTACTAGAAACCTTTCTGGGAAGGATCCTATGCTGATGACTAATATCAAGCCTCAAACCCTGAAGAAGGGACAGAAAAGCGGCCACAGGGTTCCTCAAGCTGCCATTACTCTGTGGTGTTACTCCACACCTCAAAATGAACTCATGGACAAGCAGGTTTAGGTATGACAAGGTCCAGCCTCTCTCTAATCCTAGTACCCGACCCTGATTACACAAGTAGGCTGAAGCTTGGAGCTGGGCAGCCAAGCTCGGTGTCCCTGTAGGTTGCTTGTGTAAGACAGTGCTGGTGCAGCGTCTCTTCCTGTGGCATGTTACAGAGGGCATGTGCACCCACGGGTGAGGTTGAACGGGAAGCTCACACACTCCTGCAAGAGCCATGTCTCCTTCTGACACTGCTGCCAATGCCTCGCTGGCACCTTTCTCACCATCCTTTATCACTTATGACATTTTTATTTATTTATGGCAGAAACCAAACACCTGGCTCATGAGGGAGAGCACGGAAGGTGCCTGGTGGAGTTAGTGTCAATGTGCCTGCTGGAGCAATGTAGCAGGGCTGGCTGTGCTGGTCCAGCGCAGGGAGCCCCTCCCGCGCTGCACGGCCGGTGCTGCCGTCAGGTCCCTCCGTGGTGTCCTGAGCGAACGCACAGCTCGAGTGGGCGGCTCTAAACCTCTCTGTCGTGCCGCTGTGGCCACCCGGGAATACAGGTCAGGGCATTCAGCCCCGGCCGGCCAGGCGGGATCCCCGGCGATGCCGGGCGGTGCCAGCCCTTCCCGGGAGCGGGCACACAGGAGCGCTGTGCCCAGCCTGCTCATCCCTCGCCGCTGCCCTCGCCTACACCCGCCAGGCTCGGCCCGGCCCAGGGACACCGGTTGGAGGGTTTATTTCCTGCTCTGACGTTTCCTTACGGATCCAGCCCAGCGGCCGGGTCTGGAGCCGGCGGCGGGGAGCGCCCAGCAGAGACGCCCGCCCGGGCCGCCATCTCCTCGCCCCGCCCCGCCGGCCCCTTACCTCTCCCGCGGGGCGCCGGGGATGTGGTCGTACTTGGCATGGATGTGCTTCACGTAGCAGCAGTACAGGACAAAGGCCAGGAGGCAGAGGGCCAGCAGGAGCCCCCCGGCCGCCCACAGCGCCTCCATCCCCGCCGGCTGCCAGCGGTGCCCCCCCTGCCCCGGGCGAAGGGCGGCCGGGGCGGGCCGGGAGAGTTCCCGGCTGCGGGCGGGGACGGCGCTGCTTAAAGAGCCCGGCGGCGGCGGTGTGAGCTGAGAGCCCCGGGACGGGTTCAGATACACCCACAGCGTGTGCCTGTGGATGTGTATACGTGTATGTGTACGGTCCAGAGGAGACCACGAAGATGATCAGAGGGCTGGAGCAGCTCTCCTGTGAAGACAGGCTGAGAGAGCCTTGGCTGTTCATCCTGGAGAAGAGAAGGCTCCGGGAAGACCTTATAGCAAGGGCTATAGGAAGGCTGGAGAGGGACTTTTTACCGACACGTAGTGATACAACAAGTGGGAGTGGCTTTGAATTTAAAGAGCGTAGATCTAGATTAGATATTAGGAAGAAATTCTTTACTGTGGGGGTGGTGAGGCACTGGAATAGGTTGCCCAGAGAAGCTGTGGATGCCCCATCCCTGGAAGTGTTGTTTGACACTTGGAGCAAGTTGGTCTAGAGGACGTTGTCCCTGCCCATGATGGGGAGTGGAACTATATGATCTTTAAAGTCCCTTCCAACCCAAACCATTCTATGATTCTATGATATATATGTGCATGTGTCTGTATATGTGTATGTATGGATGCATGCTTTCCTGGTTGAAGAAGGTGCTTTGAACAAGTGAGTGAGGAAGTCAGGAAAGATCCTGCACCTTCCTATGCTTGTTTATAAAAATGTTTTAAATAAGGCTCCTCTCTGAAGGCTCCTAGACAAACTAGGTGTCACAGGACAAGGAAGGCGGAGGCTCTTTGCTGACTTTTAGCTCTTTAAATTAGACGATGCAAAGGGAATATACTGTTGATGCCTGTTGGAATCAATAGATGAAGGTTTTCAGAGCAGTCTGCTTTGGTCACTGTGTTATACAATGTGCTCATTCATCATCCAGGCACAGGAACGAGAGATGATACTGTTTTATTCAGAACAGGTAATCTAAAGCTGACTGACACAAATTGCATAAGGATTTCAGAACACAGAGGACCAAGCCATAAAATGGTGAAAATTAATTTCTGGTAAAAATAAAAGTAATGCATGGGGAAAGGTAAACTATGCATATTTATATACCTCCAAGAAAGTTATATATATTTAGTGGTGGAACTTATTCAGGAATTTCAACTTAATGCTCAGTACAGACCAAAGAATCAAGCGGGGTATTGACAGTGATTAGAAATGGGTGAGTGAGCAAAACAAGATGCTTGAAAGTATTGATATATAAAGGGCTCAATAAATCTGGAGCACACCCCCTGTGTGTGAATATCCCAGGAACTCCCCTACCAGCTCAGCAGAGCTGTAGAGACAGAACAGGTTAAGCCTCCAAATTGGAAAAAGTATGAGCGAGGGAGGTTATGACAGGGGTCAGGAAAACCATCAGTGGTTTAGAGATAAATAAGGACAAACTAAGTCATTACTTTGCATAATTCAAGAACACAGAGGCACCCACTGAAATGATCCAGCAGCAGGTGTAAAAGAGGAATACATTTTTCACAACAAATTGTTAAATGAAGGAACTCATGCCAACAAGCTGTTGTGGGGGCTAAGTGAATAAGTTGGCTCACAGGGAGGCAGGGAAACTGTTGAGGGATGGATACAGGAGCCATCACTGACCTCAGCAGGACCTCTGTCCTCTGGGGATTTCTGGAAGGAACAGCAAGACCCCAAATAGTTCAAGAAGACCAAGAAGGTACAGAAGCCACCCACTGCATCCTGCTGTCTTCCCATCCTGCCCCCAGTCCAGCAGCCTTTCAATCACTATAACAATCTCCACAGTATCCACTTCTTCCTTCCTCCTCAAAGACCTGCCAGGTCTCTCCTCAGTGCTGCTGCATGTTGTGTCCACTCCATCCCTTTGAAGGTTGCTCATCTTACATGCAAGGTGGCAAATGCTCCTTTCCACCATTCCCATGGTTCTGAGCGCACCAGAGGAAGCAAAGCAGGATCCCTCCTGCCCCGCTATGCCCAAGGAAAAACATATCAGATTTTCACAGGACAACCCCATGACACACTCCTTTCCTGCACAAGCTTTGCTCAGCCTTCTGGAGACCAGATAAGAAGATACCTGGAATTTTATCGTGTCTATTTGCCACCTGTGGGTCTCTCCCTTGTTTGGCAGCACCATATGAGACTGCTGCAAGAGTTTTCATCCCCACCATTTCCAATAGGGTACCTTTTCCCTGTACCACTTCCCCAGCAGCTCCCATATACCCATGCCTCTCTGCAGAAGGAGGGAGAGGATGTAACGCATGGCACCCCCTGTTTTTGTCCATGTGAAGCAGCAATCATCTGCCAAGCACCTCCACGAGTCAGCTTGCTTCAGTTTCCAGGTGGAAGCAATGACTGTGCTAAAAGGCCACAATCTGCCCGTTTTCCTTCTTACACATCATTTCTGCCTGTGTTTGAATGAACAGAGAAGGACTATCACAGCAAGCACAGCACATGCCAACTTAAGGTGAGGGATTTAATTTTTGTTCAAACCATAAATAATTTCAGATGGGCTGTTAGTGACAGAGGAAGCAGGGAGTCAGTGGTGAAGAGGAATTTAAGGAGCACCTGTAGCAGCCATGACTGTGAGTGTTATTTATGCTGTGTGGATGCGTGTCCATGTATCCCTCACTAAGTGGCTAACACCTACTGGCCAACTTCAGCTAAACCTGCCATGGAAACACAGATCACAAAATGCTCGAAAACCAGAGCAGATTAAAGGAATTGCACTGGCTTTGTAGTGTGAGCTAGGCTAAAGAAAGGTTTGGTATCACGGACCTTAGAGGATGACAGGGATTTTCTTTTGAAGTCCCCAGGAAGCAGCACGTCTCCCAGCAGGCGTGGCTGAAGCCTGCCCATGTTTGGGTCACAGCAGCCCGGGAGGCCCCTGGGGAAGCAGAAGGACCAGAAACTCGTCAGAAAACTGTGAAAGCCGTGAAAGCCTGTCAGGAGCTCCTGGGATTTTTCTTTTGGCTGGTCACCGTGCTCAGCAGAGGGGAGGAAGAACACTTGAGGTGGCCTATGGAAACAAATGCACCTGATCACTTCATTTTCAGAGCTCCAGCCTGTGGGTGGGCAGGGCTGCCCTGGGGAGCACACTTGGGGGCCAGCATTGCTCTCCTGGCTTCACATCACATAGCAGAAGAGTTTGGTAGTAATGCCACACAAAGATCTCAGAGAGACAGTGGTTCTTAGTAACAGTCAAATGGTACAAAACACCAGAAACCAGAGTTTCCAGCTGTCAGTACACAGTGGAGCAAAACCTGGTTGTATTTTTTAAAATATTTTTTGGCTTTCTGTTACATTCAATGTTAACATTGATTTTTATTGAACTGGTAGTTCCTTCTTTAGCTCAAAATAATTGCAACAACCCTGACTTATTTTCCCCTCTGAGTATATATTCTCAAAGAGCATCATTATTATTTAACTATTGTTTCTGTTTATCTTACTTGAAACTACCTTTTTTTTTCTTGTTAAGACTGAGGTTTTAAAGCTGCTTGTTTTCAGAAAAAAGCTACTATTCCTCCCCACTGGCCAATCACTATATATTATGATGTCATGGCACGAATATCCTGCATCACTAGGAAAGATATATCTGATCACAAGAATAGCATCAGCTAGAGAAAGTGCTTAAAAACTAAAACTAGCTAATGAAACCATGTCTTTAAAGACACTCAGTGAAATTCCTGATGAAACATTGATTTTCTGAGTTTCATCAATATTTTTTTCGGCATACTTCAAGAATAGATTGTAACTATCTTTAAGGTGTTCTTTCGTTTGGGATCAGTCTCAGAATAATTCCTGTGAAAAATTCTTGCTTGTATCTTGTTTGTGAGCAGCTCAGAGGGAGGTGATGAAATATTGGGTATTTTATACATTTTGATGGGATAGAGAGGCCATGTGATACAGTTCTGATCTCTGAGCAGATCAGGTAAGCTTTCAGAATTAAGCTTCTCAAGCAAATATAATTATCAGCTGATAACTCCCCTAAGTATTTAGCCTGTGTACGCTGCTAAACTTATCTTACTTTCCATGCTTCAAAGATGAACTTTAATTTTGTTCGTCTTCCAATAAGCTTTAATACAACCTTCTGTTTGTATTCTAACGTGTTTCTATACCCTTGAGTGAAGGACATGATCCCAAGGAACTGTCGTGTTTATGATCTGCCTGGAAGCCACACACTGCACTGAGATGAAGGAGCGAGGCTGGGGCACGCTGTGCTTCCCTGTCTGTCACCTTGCTGCTGGGGACAGAACTGCCATCGCGTGGACACCTTGCCAACCTGCACATTCCCATAAACACGAGAAGCAAGAGAGATTTGGAAGCTGAACAGAAGAGCAGAGAACTGGAAACAGTGAACTGGTGTGAAGTTCCAAGGTGAATTTGAAAAATTGATGGGATATAGGGTTAGTCCAAACTCCTGCTCTCTTTTGCTTGGCTTTCCAGGGCTATTTAAGTTTAAAAGCATTTTCTGTTCTCTCTCTCAAGGTCCAGCATCATTTAGGCTGTAAATGAGGACAGCAAAGAGAAGGCACAGCATAGGCAGCTCCTGTGCTGGGAAATGCCTCCAGCAGCACACGACTCACCAGAGGATCAGGCATCCTGGTCAGTCTGAATTTACCAATATGATACATTTCTAAATAAAGAGCTTTTAATTTTACTTTAAGTGTCTCCATCTGTTGTGTGCTACTGGTTGAGTGCAGATGGTGATTAAATTATTACCTCTCCTGGTGAATTTACAGTCTAAGAGCTCACCCCCTGCCTAAAGATCCATATGAAACTAGTGGGGGTCTGGGACTAGCCTGAATACTGTGTTTCAGCCATCTCCAGCAGAAACACAAACTTCAGGACTGTTTTTACAAGGCATCTCCTCCTTTTCTAGGCAGAAACACTGTCCGGGTGGAATACAGGGACGGACTACTGTTCAGGGATTTCAGTCCTTCTGCCCAGCCCTAGCAGCTCTGCCACAGGTGTGGATTTCAAAATATTTGTTGAAGTACACCTTCAAAACCCACCTAGTTCTTCTGACAGCAAGGTACTAATATCTGATCTCTCTGGTTTTTTATTATTGTTATGACAGACAATGTGAAAAGTAGTGAGGCTTATTTAAAGTAAGACCATACAGAATTTTTAATCAAATATAGGAGAGACATTTACCTTAATCTCCCTGCACTTAAACATTCAGTGATTGCTTCTCTGCTACTAGTCCTTTGCAAGGTGTGGGGAGATAGTTACTGCTGTGTGCTTACACTTACATTCACTCATACACCAGCTCGAAGGGGAGAAAACCCCCATACTTTAATGTAAATATTTGGCTATTTTCCTTTTATAAAACAAACTGCAATATTATGACTAATGCTAAAGAATATGGACTTAAATTGTGTTACAATTCCATACATGACCCTATTTTAAATCCAACTATTTATTAAAATGTTACTTCTGTTCAAAAGCAAGCACATAACTTTCCTCAGCATATGTATCCAAATATATACATGGATGTAAAGTATAAAGCAGTAGGTGACTTCTGCTGTTACTTTTATCAGGGTAAATAATAAATCCAGCCAGGCCAAAGCTAGTGAGACCAGTTACAATGTTTTTAGAAAGAGAAAACGACCCATTATTTTAATCTAATTACCAAGGAACAGGAAATCGAAAAGGTGCATCAAGTTGATAGCAAAAACTTGCCCTTCTATTTGATGCTGGGAAAATCACCTTCCTGAGCAGAGTCACAAGTCACAAAAAGTGCTGTGGAAGATCAGAGCATCTTTATCTCTGACCCAGAAGCAGCCGCTGCGCTGTGAGGGCTGGGGCTGGGCTGAAGTGGCAGGATGTCATCAGCCAACAGGGCTGTGTGACTGCATGACAACGTGCTGTGTCATGCCACAAGCTGTGACATGCAGGAAGAGGCAGATGAATAACTGAAGTGAGATCTTTCTTCTGTGATAAAGTTTGAAGGATAATTTCCTTTCCTACTGCTCTTCCAAAATAAAAACCTCAGGTGGTACAAGATCATCTGAACATGCCTATGCAGAACTGCAGATGCCCTGAAAGACCTTTGCAATTCAGGCCTTTCCCCATTGCCCCGTGCATGGCATGAGCCTCTGGGACCATGGTTCTCAAAACAGTCACTGCTGCTTCCTCCAGAAGCCCTTTTTCTCTCTAGGGTGTCTTTAAGTGTCATACAGGACAGGCGAGCAGAGCACAGATGGTGTAAAATCTTGATTTAAAGAATTGCTGCATGCATAGAAATGAAATACCTTGTGGTCCGCAACTCGTCTGGCATCTCCCTAAAACCAGGATATAGCATACACAGTAAAAGTAAAGGGGGCAAAAAAAGTGAGCTGCCCAAATACTAATGCTATACTCACTGTTCAACAGGAGAGGCAAAAAATTAAAATAAAGCCGTCATTTTGTCTCCCTATACATTTGATCTGCTCCAAAGACAGTTTTGTTTCTGTATCATCCAGAAAACAAATTATCAAAAGGCCTACAATGGGTCTTTCAATGGGAATTTCCATCCTTTAATAAAAATAGCCACCTTGGGTTTGGATTTCACGAAGGCTTTGTCTACACTAACAAATTAAGCAGTCATTCTTTGGTTATCAGGCCAACTGACAGTAACTCCTGACCTAGCCCAGGGCGATCTGGGAGGGTGCAGGTTAGCAAGGGACACAGGCATGCTGGGAAGTGCTCTGAAGATTTAACAGCACAGCTCATTCCCTCCTGGTGACAGGAAATGTTTCCTGGTGCCCCTTCATTTACCAGGCAAAAAAATAAATCTTTGTTTTGAAGGTACTGACAAACAAATGTGCTCAATCTTTTCTGGCTTAAGGGCATGACATCCTGACTTAATCAGGCTTGAGATAAACCTTTTTGCTGTTTCATTCTGTGAGGGGGAGGATGGGGGTGGAAATAACGTCCCTCATGGGCAGCACTGGACCTTGGCACCTTACAAAACCATCAGAGCCACCTTGCTCAAGCCTGACATGCAGTGCTGTACTGTTGTCTCCTCTCCATGCCTGGCATATGTGGACAGGAAAACTCTCATAAAAAGTTAATAAATGAGCTGACCTAGAGCCGGATCTTTTGCCACAGATTACGCTTGATGCAGGAATCAACCATACCTTTGCAAAACAAAATCTTCAGTGGGATTAGATCTTACTTACCCAACACTGCCAACTATAGGCCTTTGCAGTGATTTTCACACTGAGTTGGTTGTCACCCTGCTTATACATACTGATGTTCTGATCATTCTCATTCAATAAAATTTTCAAGCATGGAGTGGACAAGTAATTGCAAGACATTAATAATAACAAAAACAGTCCAAGGGTTTAGTCATTGCCAACAGCTAATGCCCCCAGGGAACAAACTACTTGATGTCAGTGCTTACAACTGGCTGAACACTACAGGCTTTTTCTTTTATCCTTAAAAATAACATCCCTATTTACCACATTATTGTTAAGGAATGCTTGCTGTTTCCATCACAGCTGCTTTTCTGACAACACTGAAACCCTGCTTAAGGCAGGTCTATAGCTGCACCTGTGGCCCAGACATGGAAACCTTGGGAAAGTCGTGTACGAAACAAGGTATGGGCACACATCACATGGGTTTGAGGTCTTGTTTGTTTACAAAGCAAAAAGCTATAATTTCTTAAAGCTTAAATTTGGAATGCAGTAAGTAGTTATCAAAAGACGGGGAAAAAAATAACCAAGCAAAATACTTTCATACACAGGGAGACCACAAGAGGAGAACATGTGTCTTCAATCACTACTCAGGTGAAAAAACATATTTTAGACAAAATAAGGGGTTTGTGTGGTTTTTTTTAATATGCCCTAAAAAGAGTTAAATATTACAGGATTATTACTTCAGTATATTACCTCTTGTGTAGTAACTCATACTCATGAAATCTGAATGCTTGAAACATGTGGCTTCACATAATTTGGGAGAGTGGAGGAACACATACGAAGTATCTTCAGGGTTAAACAGGACAATGATCCTGTTAATGTAAAAAGGGACAGATTTTCAATCCTGTCCGTGTAAAAGGGGTCAGATTTCCTTTCCACTGGGGTTAGTGTAAACTGCAGAAATATTTTTCCAGGCAGTATGTAATGGTTTTTTTCTAAATAATCTGATTTTGCTTAGATACAGTTATCCTTGATGACCACTAGGTTTATACCAATAAAAAGGATTAGAGAAAAATAATTTTTCTTTAAACTAGTGAGTGGAAAGTTAAAAAAATATATACTTTTGCATTTTGCAAAGAAAGGCACAGATTTACACATTAAAAACTGCTGCTCAGAGCTGCAGGTGGCAAAGTAAGGCAAACAACACAAATGATTCCATTAGAGCAAAACACAGTCATTTGGGAATTTATTTTTTGGCAAAACATTGTGAAGCACAGCTGAGGAATGCTGTATTTTGAAAGGGAAAGGGCAACAGGATGCATCCCTTTTCTAATCTATAAAGGCTGATGTTTGAGGTTTTCTTATTAAAAAACCCATAGAAATGTAGTCCCTGCCCACAACGTACTCAAGCCACTGCTTCGTTTTACTTTTTCTTTCCCTCCAAGGCACATACATGGGGACAAACATGAAGAAAACCACGAGGTTACTTTGAACAGACGCGACACCCTCCAGACAGGGCACACCCTCCGCAAAACTGCAGCTGGTTTAGAGGGTTGGGCAAGAAAGGGATGTGCTCCAAGTCCCTCTGCTGCCTTCCCCAATTCCCCTGTCACCAGTCTGCCACCTCCTCCCGGCTGCACACCACGCCAGCATCCTCCTCGTGCGAGCAGTTGTGTTTGCCGACGTCGGCGTGGGAGCACTCCAGCAGCGTCCTCTCCTGCCCGGAGCACTGGACATCATCCAGAAGAATGCGGAGGGATGTCCCTTCCCCGAATTCTGCCTTCTTGGTGGCCCGCACCACGTAGGGAAAGCCCAGCTGGCGGCACACCACGGCGGCGGCGGCCGAGCTCCAGCCGTCGTCGCACACGGTGCCCCACTCGCCGTCGATGTAAACCTCCACCCGGCCCCGGCCGCGCCCGCGGCGCCCCCGCTCCATCAGCCGCACGGCGCCGTTCCGTGGCTTCTTCTTCCTGCGCTGCCCCCTCTTCTCTGCTCCCTTCCTGGGCTTGGGGGTCCTGCCACTGGGCGCTGCTGTGGTGGGGGTTCTGAGGTCTGGCCTACCTCCCCATGGGGCCTCGGTCGTGGTCTCCAGCCGGGGTTGGGGTATCGGTGCTTGCATGATAAACTCTGTTGGGGAAAAAAACCGGGAAACCATGAGTCTGTCACTCTGTGGACAGTACTTGAAGACAACTATATGAAACCAGTGCTGATTTTTTACTTATTTAACTAATTTCTTGCAATTTGCCTACTTGATCCCGTTGAGAAGTGACAATGCTCTCAGTGAGCCAGTATTTCCTCAGCAAAAGAAGGTCGGCTGCTTTCAGTTAGCAGAGAGGACTGCAGGGCAGAATGCCAACACGTGAGCCCTCTCCCAAAAAGGAAACTCTAAGCAGTTTATTGGCAAATAAGCAAAATCTCAGCCTGGCCCTTAAAGGGTGGGCGCTGGAGTTTCACAGTCAGCAGAGGACTTCCCCACCATAGCCTTCTCTCCTGCAGAAAGCATTCTAAAGACAGGCACTATTTCTGCTCTTCTCTTCATTTCTAAGGATTGGATCGTTACCAGAGGAGAGCGTGGCCTCCCCACTGGGTCAGATGCTTTATTCAGAGGAGCTGAAATCAGGAACATTCAAAATCAATTCTCTCTGGCAACTGGAATGTGCAAGAGGAACAGAGTTGCCAGGACAACACATAAAACAGGATTTGAGGTTGGGTTTGTTCTTCCTTATGAAAAAAAAAAGAGCCTTGAACTCTGAAGAGCTGAAAATTCTTTGCTGTCACAGTTTCCAGGCATTACTGGACTTGCTTATTCACATGTGCTTTATTTTTAGCTTAAAAATAAGTTTTAGTTTGCCAGAAGGAATCAATTCAGAATTTCTCAGAATAACAATCAACTGAGCTGGGACAGTGTCACAGACATTTGCAAAGACATCATGACTATTTGAATTATATCCCAGATTTATCCACTCTCATTCATCATTTGCTTTGTAGTACAAAGAGGAGGAAAAATATGACTGTCTTATTTGTACTTAATATCTATTGTCCCCAGAAGACAAACCCTTGCAGTGGTCCATTCTTTTTTCCAGTTGCTGCTCTTTGAAGAGGAATTGTGTTTGAGACATGAAAATATTTCCCTTCTTTGGTAGCTGAGGTTCTGAAGGCAAGAAATGGATTTGAAAGCCTTACCTGTGCACAGCTCAGTTGCCGGAGCCTGATCTAGCAAGGCACTTAAAAATCCTGGAACTCATATAATGATCTGTAGGGCTGTATGAAAGCTAGTGGTCACCTGGGACTGCTTTTCACCTCACTGAATCAAGTTGTTATTATATATTACTCTTTGTTAAGCTATTTATAAAATACACTTACAACAAATGCACTCATCCAGCTAATGCAAGCCACATGCCTTAGTGATTCTGTTACATTCACACTAAATACTAACCAAAACAGTAAATATTTAGACCTACGCATCCTTGTTTGCATGCTTCAGAATCAAAATGTTTGTGTTTGGTTTTCGCCAAAAAGTGAATTTAGTTCATGAGACACTTCGTAGAATCTCTCCCACCACTTCTATGTTTTAATTTATGATGAAAACTAACTTGTAAACAAACCCAAAATATCTACTTATCTGTATAGTTTAAAAATCTGAACTTTGGACTTGCATAGAGAATAATGTATAAGCAGAAACAGAGATAGAACTGGTTGAACATGAAACAAGTTACTAATGTTTGGAGACTGCTGCCCAGCTTGCAAAGGAGAATATATCTGAAGATGTGCTGAATGCTCAGGCATGTCAACAGTCAATAATTAGCCTCAGATCTTGTTCCACCTTAAAGACTCAGTCTTGCAAGGTGCTGAGTGCCCTCATTTTTCCCTGAAGCCAGAGCTGCGGGAACTGTCAGTGACTCAAATGCAGTGTAATATGATTAATGTAATTAAAAATTAAATAAAAGTATCCTGACTTTAGAGTATCCTGACTTTATAGTCCCTACAGTGATATTAACTTTGTGACAAAGTCCATAGAATATGCTGACTTTGAAGGGAAGTTGTCAAAGTACTGCCTAGTGTGTAAATTAAATGCACAGGGGAAAAGAACAGTGATACTGCCTAATCTAATCCTGAGATTCTAATGTTGTATTTAGGTTGTTGTGTCTAACATAAATAGTACTTGGCTTGCTGCAACTTCAGCTACATCACTGACTGCTCTTTACTTTCAATACTTCTTGCAGTATCAAGCAATCAAGAAGCCCTGGAGGGTTTGGGTAAGCCAAAAGTTCACCTAAATGGCTGATAACTTGTTCTTCTGGGAGCATTTTATCATCCCATATTCTCTCACTTTCAACTAACAATGATTCAGCCTTCATCTTGCTCAATGAGCTACTTCCCAACCCTTCAGCAATCATAGCTTTCATCTCTTGAAATACTCCTCACAACTTGAAGCTCTGCAAAAAATCACGTCACTGAAAAGCACCATTGAGCACAGGGTCTCCATACAGTTACAGGGAAACCCAGTTGGTGGTAATGAAACAAGTACAATGTAGCATGGAAAAGGGAAATTGTACAGGGCCAGAAACTACAAAGCAAATTTCACATGGCCAGGACAGGGGAAATACTTTATGCCTTATTTGAACCAACTCTTCAGATCTAAAACAGCTGCTAAGAATTAATTTTGAGGATACTCTGAAGAGTAAAGTTCTGGGTGGTCTCCACACATGTGTGGAGTTTGTATCTACTGCCAGCTAAGATGCACCAATAATAAGCAGCAACAGTGACACTCACTCTCCTTTGGCACAAACGGGATGCGTTTGCTTTTTACTTTCACTGGCGATGGCTCAACTCGGCATTTTCCTGGTGGTGCTCTCCTGTAAAAAAAGGGACACGTACAGTGCACAATTAATTCCTTTCCTCTGGTATTGCAAGCTGTTGCTTCCCATTGTTTTTCTATGAATGTAATGCTCATTGGAAAAAAATAAATGTCTGTTTAAATGATGCAAGTAATCTTTTACAGTAGAAAGCATAACTAAACAATCACAGATCTCCACTGATCAAAGTCCAAATATTCACAAGGCAGTGGAGTCCTCTGGCTATGTTTTCACTTGCCACTATTGAATCCATTAAGGAAATAAAGCATTGGCAAGTTCAAGCACTACAGAAAGAGATTAGTCAAACTGAAAATAAAAAATACAAAACTAGACAGTGTGTATTGAACATCTGACATAAAGGTCATGTGTGCACAACTTTTCAGACTGTCTTCATGGAAGGAAAATAACACACTATTATTCATTCAGAAAGCCCAAACAAAGGTAGTGCCAAAAATGCATTAGTTTCAGAAATGAGGTCTAAGTGTCTCCTACAGGGGCTCTCTCTTACTACAGTGCATTATTTTGACACAGATTTGTTTGCCATAGAGGTATATCTCACCTCTGAGAAGTTACATGTAGTTCCTCACCACTTTTCCCTATGACAGCTGTCTTGTTAATCCTCAGACTTCTTCAGAGGTTTTCAAACTGGCTCAAAAATGCATGGTGTTTGCATTAGGAGAGTATAACTCCTTTGTTATTAGGATTGTTTGCATCTGCATTTCTGTGGAAGGCAGAGAGTTTTTCTCTCAGCTACCTACACAAGGATGTTTCCTACTTTCATGAATTTTTCTGTGAGTTTTTTCTGTACTCTGCACATGAACAAACCTTCTTTTTAAACTTAAACTTATGACTCTCTTTTGACTTCTGCTTTCCTTATTTTTGCAAAGGTTGCATAATACCAGACTCTTAATACATAGTTTACAGGAACTCTTCTGCTGTGTTAGATAATGGAAAATGCTCCTGACAGAGGAGAGCTGGAGGAGAACACGTGACAGCTCTGGGGTTATTTAACTTTGGGGACTGGTTTCAACATAAAACTAGACAAGTGGTTTTGTTCAAAATGCTCAGATAGCTAAAGTTGTAAATTTAATCCATATAAAACAATAAAAGCTGCAAAAATCTCACTCTCCATTTCTGGCTGAAAGCAGCTTGGTGTTTAGCCAATAATAGTAATGCTTAAAAAACAGGAAGATGGAAAAAACATCTGTAAGTCTTCCCATAAAACACAGCTATTCCCTGCCTTGCCCAGTCTCAGATACACACACGTGGAATCCAGAAGGTGTAACAATGGTTCTGTTTTCTTGACCAATCCATTTTTCTCTTTGAAATATTAAAAAAAAATGCACTTTTTGACATTCATTTCTGATTTGCCCAAGAAAGCACTGCAGGTCATGCTGGTCCAGCTTCAGCTGCAGCTGCCTGGCCACAGGGCTCTTGTGGGAGATGCGGCTGGATACAAGGGATGGAGAGGAACTGAGAATAAACACCTGGAGAAAAACTGCCTCCTTTTGGGCAGGAATCTAGAGCAACTTTGCCCAAGAAAGACAAGCTACCTATAAAATTCAGCTTTAGCATTCACGAACAAATCTCCCAACCCACATGACACCAACAGGCCCCATAACAAGTTGGCACCAGGCAGTGCAGAGCCCCACGACTGCCAGAGCAAAGCAGACCCACAATGGGTTGCTCCAGATGCTCCATGAACAATCTTCACAGAAGGGCCCATCATGGGAGAAGAGTTAGTGAGTCAGACATCACTCACCACATCCACACCTGGACTCACTGCACCACACCCAGGCTTTGCAACAAGAACATCTCATACCTGGAGGTGTCCACCACTTTGTACACCACTCCATTGGGAGCCGTGGCACTTGGTACACCAGTAGACATGAAGTACAATTCCCCTGGGAAGAAAACAGGCACAGCCATGAAAACTTTCCGTGGAGTTTCTGTCCTGTACAGCAAAAAGACATTAACTCTGTATCACAGGTCAGAGAGCATCGGGAAATGCAAACCAGCATGGAGGTCTGGATATTGGAGGAAAAAAGGCAGGTTAAAATTTGGGGTTGTAGTGAGAGTTTATCTGCAGTTTGTTGACATAAAATACTCTTAGTGGGTGGGACCTTTTACATAGCATCATATCATTTGGACAAATTTCCACTGCAAGTTCACCTGCCCAGACTTCACTTGTCATCTCATTCTGATCTGTGTCCTTTGACTTCTCTAATGCAAACCAGTCAAAGCTTGAATACCTTTGTTGAAACGAAATGAAAGGAAATTAGGAAAGTTCACTGTCTTCTGCTCATTTGGATGAAGCACTCCTTTGGGTGAATGACAGCAGAATAAGATTTTGCTTTTCCTTTCTTTAGGACACTCACAAAATGAGATGTATCTCACACAAAATGCATTTGGTTTATCACACCTCTGTCAGGTCACATGGATAGAGCTCAACCTTCAGCCAAACAATGTCCATCACCATTTATTTGACTTATTTTCTCTTAACTGCATTTCTATCCTTCTCCTGTTGTTCAGGGGAGACTGGGATAAGCAGTCCCTCTGGCACTCTTTTGCCAGCTGAAGTGCTTGAGAGGTGCAAGAAAAGGATCAGAGAAAAAAAATAAATTAGCAATATTTAAAAAAAAAAGAAGAGAAAAAAAAAAGGAGGCAGTGGAGATGGGGAGACTGGTTTAGTGAGCAAGGCAGGTTTCTTTAGGTGCCCTATGGTTACCCTACAGGGAAGAAGGGAAGGAGCAGAGGGGTCAGAGTGAGCAAAGGAAGGTGTGGGGATTGGTGGCAGCTGGTGCTAAGCCTCCCTCCTCCTACCTGCTCTCCTGTGTTGCCCTGGGCTGAGCTCCTCTTGATGCTCCCAGGGTAGAAACCAGCCATCTCTGGCCATCCCTGGCTGGTTTCTTCCTTTTTCTGGTGAGCTTCATTAATGACAGGCCAGAGGCAGCCCTGATCCAAACAGAGATGGGAAACACCCAGCACTGCATCTTGTGCAGTGATTTGTGCTTTACATCCTGCCTCTCTTTCCTGAAAATTATCAGGCAGAAGTATGGATGCTAAGGCCATGAAGCACACAGGCTACACACATGTGCCCCACAGACATGGCACAGTGCCTGGGGTGTCCTGGACATTCCACTGCTCAGGCACAGGGCTTTTGGCTTTATAACGGCCATGCAATGAGCCAAAAATATAGATGTCTCCACCAAATAAACACATTGACTACACCAGTCAGATTAACATTCATCAGAGCAACAACCCCAAAACTCAAATACTTCTGTGAAGAAAACCTTTTTAAAATAAACTGTGAAAAAATAGTAAAAAATTAGATTCCCAGCACACAAAAAGGTGCAAGACAAAGCTGTTCACCGAAGATAAAGCAACCTCACTACACTGTTATCAACAAATTTTTTCCCATTACTATAAAGCAAACACAAAGCAACTAACTACCTCTGAAGAGATACTCTAGCCCAAATCTCCACTCAGCTCTATTGTACTTAATCAAGGTACACATGAAAAGTGCAGGGCAGAAGGGTGACAGTGTTTCACCCCTACTTTGTCCAGAGTCTGTTGACAGATGGAGGACAAGGGACATGATTCCCACGTGCATGAGCAAGGGCCACCATTAACAGCTTGATATTGCACTTGACATTAAGATGATTTGAATTAAGTTACTTGATTTTAGGGTAAGATATCCTTCTCGCCACAGCACTGTGAAATATCTCTAACTTCCATGAATATTAACCATTAAAGAAATTGGAATTTAACTCAAAAAAAGAAAAAAAAAAGAAGTCAAACTTTCAAGATAATACTTAATTTGGATGATTTGCATTTACAAACTAAAATTTGCATTCATATGATTTGTGCAACATCCAAACTTGACATAATCTGCAGGAAAACCAGATGTTTAAAAGCTGGGGCATTCTGGAAGCAGGTGCTTGTGACTGTGAGCCAGGACCCCCCCGAAACAGGGCAGAACACAACTCCTGCGTTGCTGGGTCACACATGTGGTGTGTCACTCAGCAATGGTGTTGAACATTGTAAGGCTCGTGCTCCCCCCATTCGCTTCCAGGGGCTGCAGGGGCTGCACACTCTGCAATAGCCTTGTACAAACAATGGGAGCAACCACCAGCTTTCACCCCAGGATTCTTTATTTCCTCCTTTTCAAATCACAGCATCTCCCTTCTAGAAAGTAAAATTTCTCCAGTTTTGAAAACACAGCTGTGCAAAGCTCCACTGAGACTTTCAGTCCTATGCAACGGAAAATCCCAGGTGACACTAATAAAATATGGACTTAAGCAGCCTTTTGCTGATGCCTCACTCAAGACATAACACAGAGCTTTCATTCTGCTTCACCTTGAGAGTTACCAATATTCCAGTCCAGGGTGAGCAGGTACATAATTGCTGTTCATGACATCTGCTTCCCTGTATCCATTAATAATGCCCACAGTTTTCTTGACTAGCCAAGAACATAGACTTGCTCTCACTTGGGTATCAGCTTCTCAGGCTGCTAGGGCCTCCATTCCCCATGGAATGGCACTGTGAAGAATGAGGTTTCTTTTCTAAGCTGTGTTTTATTCTACTTGCCCCCACTGTTCCCTGTTCTCCAGAGGGTAGGTATGCAGGCAGCAGCACAGTCCAGTGCACCCAGAATCAGTCCCAAGGGAACTGACTCTCCAATTCCTCCTGCAGGCACTCTATGGCACATAGACCCCAAAAATTAGCATTGTAATTTGGGTTGGTGTTTAGGAGATGCTGGGAATCTCACCCACCCATTTTAAAGACTGATAGACTCATGCTCTGCCTCCCCACCACTCGCTGCTCCCAGGAGCCCTCTCTGATCCCTTCTCTGGTGTTTTAGTCTGAAGAGAAAACACAAATATGTCATCCAGTGTGACAAAAAAGTTAAAAGATTACCTGCTTCATCTTCAGCGAAAGAGATGATGTATTGGTAATAGTTATTGATAAGCCCAGGGAACATGCACGTTTGTCCTGTCCCCATGCAGATTTCACTGTACTGCCACTCTCCAGTAGCATGATCCTCCTTCAAAGACATCAGGCGTCTGCAAGGCAAAAGAACACTTCCACAGCCCAACCAAGGTGATTTATGAACACTAATGTGGACACCTGATAGGATGTTTAATGCTTCCTACCCACAGTAGCTGCAATAGGAACTGCAGCTTCTCTGAAAAATGAAGAACTGTTAATATTAAACCAAATATATTATACACCCTGCATGCAACCCCTTGTCTTTCAGTGGTAACACAAATGCATTAAAAAAAAAAGAGGGCAGGGTTTAAGTACCATAAGATTTGGGGACATTTTGGCTGACATTGGGGACATTTGGGGACATTTGGGGTACAACTTGATGAGTGTCCAAAGTGTTTACTTACCCACTCATAAAATCACCAAATATGTACAGGCCATTCAGGTTTGGAGACTCACAGCCCCGATAGACATAACCTCCTGTAACAGATTTCCCCATTTTGTGTGGATACGCGTAAATTGGGAGCACATCATCTGTAGGGCAGAAAAGATCTGTGGCTTGTTTGACATGCACTGCAGAATAGCTGTTTATCTAGATTGTTCTGAGACTAGCAGTGTGCAGTCAGGTTCACTGGAGCACCTTCTATTTAAATGAAGTGATGACAGAGTTGTATTTAGTTTGATATTCACCTCTTTGGAATCACATTTGATAGGCCTGCCCATCACCAAGACTCACCGAGACCTCACTGCTCTCTTGTGTCCTTCTCCCACTATAGCCCATCTCTTTTAGTGCCACTTCTGGCCCATTTCTACAGAGCCTGGGTGGTTTCACTAAGAACTCACAGGTTACTCTTGGAGTCACCCCATCCATGCAGGAGATATTTGCTCAGTGCAGCTTTTTTTAGGTGGTGAAAGGAAAAAAAGAGATGGGTAACTCCAGACTGCAGGCACTGATGAAAAGATATGTCAGATGTCAGCACAAATAGCTTCTCTTCCTCTGAGATGGGGGAGCTAACTTGAAAGGGCCATCAAATATTTATGGTATGGCAGAGGCTTGATGTAGTACTGGCATATTCATTTAAAATATAAGTTAAAATACAAGACAGACATAAAACAGAGGGAGATGTCCTGATTTTGAGGGTCTTGATTTGGTGCCTTCTTCCCTTTCTTTTGAAAACTCCTGGGTCACAGTTACCTCATGGTACCCGTTCCTTCCTGTCCTCACAGCCTTTCTCTCTGACTGTGTAGCAAATGCCTCAAGGAGCAAACCCGGCCACTCTGCCAGTGAGGAACTTGCACCAGAGGCATTTCACCTAAAGCAGGTGAAACCTGAAGTGTTTTCTACACTTCAGCTGTACTTATTCTAAAAGGGCTGTGACATTTCACTGTTCCAACAAAAGGGTCTCTAAAGGCATCAAAAATTGTTCTGAATCCCTGGAGACCTCAGTACAGTGCCTGCCACGAATGCTCACGTGATGCTGTCACACAGGAGAGCGCTAAACGAGCTCTCTGACAACTGCTTCAGAAAGGGAGTGTGAAAAATCTGCTCCCTGCTCTCAAAATTTTTATAAGAAAATACTTCATCACTACCACCGTAATTATGGCTAAGTTAATAAAAGGGAGAAAGTTAAATAACAGCACATAGGACATAGCGTGTAGAAGAGAAAAAAATCAGAATCTCAGCTGATGCAAATCAGTTCCAGCCCACTGCCCCCCTGGATCTCTGGGGAGGGGCTCCAGCATAAGATGTGGTCCACATCAGACCTTGCAACACAATAACACTCTGACTTCACAGGTGCACTGGAATTTAGCCAGCCAGCAAATACCCTGAATCCAGTTTTGATCAGTTTAAAAAATTGAAAAAAATAAGCTTTTCCTTTTTGGCATAGCTAAAAGAAACAAAGATACACCATACATTCAGATACCTGCAAAGCAGGCAGTGTGCATATAGGTCGATCAGCTTACATAATATGTTTTTGCTCTTTTTTTAAAAAATAAGGAAACTACTTGTGAGTTATGGAGAAAAATACAATTGCTCCAAATTTTTCTTGCTCTTGCACGAAAGCTTATTTTATGTGGCAAAGACGAAATTGTCCCCTTGCCACAGAATTACCAAGTAATTTGACTAACAACACAGATCACCTAGAAAAACAACAGCTAGCCTGTTTCACTTTCCTCCTAATTCAGAAACAATAACATTTGGACTTTCAATATTTATGTCCAAGTCAGTTCCCTTCTAGACTGAGACAGTATAGATTTACATCTCAAAGAGGTATATTTACCACCAAGCAGCCAGGCTTTGAGGGCAGGAATTAAAAATGATGGCGCAGAAAACTGTGCAGTGGGAGATGCAGGTAGTTTAGAGAACACATCTATTTACCCATTGAAGAGTTGGCACAAAGTTTTTTGTCATAACAGCTGAACCCTTCCCTCGCTCTCCAGCCGTAATTTTTCCCTTTCTCGACGATGTCAATTTCTTCATATTTATTCTGCCCCACATCTCCGCAGAAGAGCCGCCCTTTCCCCTCCTTGGTGTGAGGGTCACCCCGATCAAAAGAGCAGCGCCACATATTCCTCACTCCGTAGGCATAGACCTCAGGGCGAGCCGTAGGGTCATTGACAAAAGGGTTGTCAGGAGGGATCCGATACAGGGGCCCACGGTCGTTGTTGTTCACATCAATCCGCAGCACTTTGCCCAGCAGGGCTGATCTGTATTGGGAGAAGAAAAGAAAAAGAGGAAAAGATAAAGAAATAAAACTAGACCTTGCTTAAACATCAGAGATGGGGGTTTTGGAAGGTTTAGGGTTTCATTCTTTCTGTCTTGAAAAAGACGAGTCTCTGAATATCTCTGAAAAAGCAACCATTTCAAGATAATTTCTTTTGCCTCCAAACAGCCTTCAGGTGGCTGGCATTGACTTCTCACGCCCCACTGCTCCGTGGAGCAGTGCTGGTAGCCTGGAGCTGTGACAGGGATGGATCCACACTTACTTGTTCTGGGCATTTCCAAAGGTCCCAAAAGGATCCCCAGCCATGCCTCCATCTCCAGTGAATATATAGAGATATTCATCATCTCCGAAGAGCAGCTCTCCTCCATTATGGTTGGAAGCAGGTTCTTCTATTTCCAGGATTATCCTAAATGAAAACAGGGAGAAGGCAATAATCTATGCCAATTACCTAAGCAAAGGGCAGAGCAATGTCATGCCAATGTTGCCCTTGACAGATGCCAAGGTTACAGGTCCGTTTTGATACAAATTCCTCCACATCCACGTTAATGAATTTTGCTTGGCCATAACTGATTTTCTAACCTTAAATAGTTCCAACATATTTTCCAGATTACAGAAACGCCAAATTGTGCAATATGGAAAATCTGTGAAATCACACGGCAAGATATATTTTTATTACTTATACTTTTCCTCTGATTCTTTCTTCCTCCTTGTTAAAGTTCTTTTTTATTTTTCTTTATATTTCTTAAAGAAAAGGCACCTGAGTTTATATCCAGTTGTAAACTGCAAGAGAAAGGACTCTAGTCCATCTGTGCATCTGTACAGCATTTGGCACAATCCTGACAGGCTCTTTCAAGGCAAACATAAAACTTTTCAAACATTAAGGAATAGTTGAGTTCTCACAGAGAGAAGAATCCTTAAATGAGAATTACACACTCAGGACCTTATGAGTTTAAAGAGCAGTTAAAAGCAGCCCCACCAAAAAACTGACATTTTGACCAAGGTTATTCAAAGGAGTACCAACAAACTTTACCTTAATATTAAACCCAAACTCTCTCTTTTATTTGTTTATTTTATGCACCTTTCATAGTAAGGAAAGGGTGAAATATCTAAAGTATAATTTTATAGAATGGTAAAGCCACAAATCTATGCAGTGAAGGTTTCCAGGTGTAACAACTGAAGTTTATTTCACTCCAGCTTTTAAAAAAAGTCCAGATTTCATGCTCGCAGTGCATGAAAAAAAGCAAATTATAATATTCACTTACACTGCTTCATTTTTAGCTAGTTTTTTTCCCCGTCTGAAATACTGATAGTTATTGTGAGTTGTGGGAAGGAACCCAACTATGGAGTTATTGTCACCTCCTGTTAAATGTCACCACCTCTGTGATAAGGTAATTGTGCAAGAGTGCACAGACTCCAACTAGCAGAAGGAGCAAAGGAGGATCCCGTGCAGACACAGAGGTAAATCTTCCTCAGCCTCTCAAAGAAGATGGAAAAAACCCAAAATGGAGCAAGTATCTGAGGATAAACAGACACACGCCTTTTTGCCGAGACAACGCACACCACATGTCAGCCTGAGCTCCCTCTTGGGCAGCATCACAGGATGAAGTCAGTGGGACCTGTGCCTACACAAGCACAACAGGACCACAATTCTGTTTCCTTAAGCTTTTGCTGTACTAACCATAAGCTAAATAAGCAAAGAAAATGTTACAAACATAGACCCTGAGGATTTTTAAACAAGACAGCTCATGGGCCCTGACATCTGCAGGTTTAAGGTCCTGACTTGCTTTCCTGAGGACCACATTTAATTCCCCTTACCTGTCATCTACAGTGCTGCTTACACTGAATTGCTCTAATTGTTTTATAAACCAGTATCCCCTTTCTATCATTAGGCTACATGCATTTTTGAGCTAGAATCATCCACAGCAGAGTATTTGGAAAGCCCCTGATTCAAATCACATATCAAGCAAATATCTTAACACTCATAACATTCAAGGATCTCTCAAAACAGCGGATCTATGACATGGTTAAATCTATAGATTGACTCCACAAACAAGACACATATTGATGTGGATCAACTGCAGGACCAGACTCAAACAAATTACATTTCCAATCAAAATGCACTTCGTAATAACATAGTGGCTTGCATTTTATTTAATTTGATGTTAAATTTCTAATATCACAGGGTTGAGGTGTTGTTCAGATAAAGAAACGTGGGACCAAATCCATCTTTGGTCTGGTATCACTCAGTTTGCTCATACTGATTTTGGAAACCTTTGGCTTCAGAGTGAATTTGCCAATGTCTATTTTAAAGTGTAATCATAACAATAAGAAAACCAACCAACAAAAAAATAAAAAACAGAAAAAACTCCACACCCAACCAAAAAACCAAAATACTAACTGTAAAGTAATGTTTCATCCATGTTCAGTTAAATCCTCTGACATACTAGAACTGAGAATTGTAAATGTTTTATCCCTGAACACTTGCAGTTCATCCATGGAGGACACACACATTCTGTACTTCAACATGCTAGACATGGACTTGGACTAACGTGCTAACACACTGGATTGCAAGAACAATATTAAGCTAAATAAGTCCCATTCATTAATAGCCTTTAAAAATGCACAAGTTGCCCTCTGAAATCTTAAATACGTTTGGCAGAGAAATGTGTATACAATACCTTTCAGAATTATGGTCCAAGGCATTCATGTCAGAAGGAGAAATTCTGAACTCACTGATCCGGATTCTCTCTTCGTAACCAACTTCAACTGAATAGTAAACATAAACTTTACCATTAAATTTGAATTTAGGGTGGAAGACAATACCTAGAAACCCTCTCTCATCTCCTTCCCACGGGGAGGTAAGTACGGCTTCGCTGATGTTCAGAAATGGCTTTTCGAGCCTGGATCCATCGGGGAGGTAGGTCCACACCAGGCCAACCTGCTCTGCAATGAAGAACCTGTGGGTGCCATCGTTGGCGTGCACCATTGCAACAGGATTGCGCAGCCCGTTGGCGACCTCCACGAGGCAGAGCTGGAGACAGCCCTCCGCATCGGCGGTGACTAACCCCAGGTTTTGGTTAAGGTTCTGGTTAGCCAGCAGGTGTGGGAAGCAGTAGTCGGTGTCCTCCAAGGTCAGATAGCGGCAGAGTTTTGCCATGTTGTTTTCCAGTGCAATTAACTCTCGGTCTGCAGAGAGGAGGCGAAAGATGGAGCGGCAGTTCTGCCACACTTGCGTGCAATAGTCCTGGCAAAGTCCTGGTATCGTCCGCACGGGGGTGGAGGGATCTTCGGCATCATATGAGTGAGCTGCATATGGAGAGCATTCCTAGAAGGAGAGAGAAAAAATCTCAAGTAATTTCTTGGACCAGATTTGAAACAGCTGAGCGGTGATACTAACTGAAGATATTTCATCTTAATTACAAGATACATTGTGGTTTATTCTGAAGATGCGTTAACAGAGGAAAAGATCTTAAAAAGGGGGTTTATCTCAGCATTTGTGGAAATGATCTTCAATATTCCTGGTGAAAGCTGGCTTCCTCATGCTTCTTTATTTCAATCACAGAAATGGTGCCTATGTTGCTACATCACCCTAGGGATGTACTGGGGAAAAAGAGACTTTTCTTTCTTGGATGCTGTGACTTTATCTATGAAATAACAAGAAGATTCATCACAGCACAGAAGTGAAACCAAAGAGTTAGCTGAGAAGATTCAGGTCCTGTATCTCCAGACTGATGAGGGAATGGGAAAGGCAACCAGGGCCAAAGCCTACAACATTCCAACCTCATCATCTGATAATCCAGATATGCACCTCAGACATGGATAGGATTTACAGCTTGGAAGGAGTGGAATGAGAAAGTAGAAGAAGAGGGGAGAAGGATGCTCTCCCTACATACACCATCCTTGCTTGGGTCCAGCTGCCTTTGCTAGTGGATCTTTGCCTATAGACAGTTTATATCTCCAATCAGGAGTGGTGAAATCTCTTGATTTCTCATAATCATGACATGGCTCACCAAGTTCTGCAAGGGATTTCCGCGAGCACCAAAGGCCACAATCCAGGCAATGTCCACTGGCCGCACCTGCAGCTCAGCCTTTGTTTATGGAAGGTGCAGCCTTGGAAATCCACCTGAGGACTGGATCAAGTTCAGACAGTTCATTGCGTTCTCCACAGTGAGAACTCCTACAGTGCATCCTCCTTATGAAAAACTGCATTCCAGTAAACTGTCTGTAAATTACAAACTGACCAAAGTGACTCAGTTCTGCTTTGGAAGGGCTTTTCCTTGTAACAAACACGCAATATTGTCCAGTTGTAATGCATCTTCCCAACAAGCACTTCAAAAGTGCTCTTCAAAAAATGCAACATGACTCTGTGGAGGCTCAGTTATTTTCACAGGGTAGATAAACGACTGAGGCAAGAAAGATCAGAAGAGAAACTATACTACTTGAATAAATTCTGTATTTTTTATTCCTAGCTTACATTTCTTCTTTTTTGACTAAGCAAAACCAGCTTAGTAAAAAGAAAAAAATAGAGGGAACTGTTTCTAAATCTATAGGGAGCTATCTCTTAATGCAGATTACAGCACTACTCAATAGCTGAAAAGATACAACATTTGAGATACTGAACTGTTTAAATTAGCTGATAAGTACACACAATATTTAATTTTTATTTTATTTTCCATTACATACCATAATAAACTGAGGGGCCATATAACAGATCATTAGCGCACAATAAGCTTTCCTCCTGGAATGTCAAGCCATTCATTGCAAAATGAAGGTTATTATGCCCTCAAATGAGCAGCAATGAATGTGGTAAAAAGAAGATTGCGTGTGACACAAATCATTGAAATTACACAGGCAGACTGGGTAATGCACTCGGCTCAGTTACACGAGGTGTGCCAGGGAGAGGGACAGAAAGAGAGGGAGCGTTAGTCCATTCAGTTGTAATGACTGAAAATTTGGCCTAAGAAAGCAAATTGAAATGACACAGAAAGGGAATTTGATGGGGGGGCTGGGTGAGAGCTCAATATGTTGTTGCCTATGGAGGTTTCTCATTCAGAGAAAGGAGGCCCCTCCGTTGAGTACCCTGGTGTACCTCAGTTCTCTGAATGCATCTTTCACAGCAAGCAGTGATCTTATGCATTATAAAGCAATGCCCTGGCTTCAGATTCAGAATTAAAAGTAGTCCAGAAGTATGACTTCCCTGTCGCTTTGCCTTGCAGGCTGTTCACACCAGCCTCAGGTGTGTTTGAATAGCAATTGTGGGCAACTTCTTCCATCCTTACCATATTCCTGGTGGCATATGGCTAATTACAGCAGCATTACACCGACAGTGATATTCAGAGATCTATCACCAGCCAGATAGTACCCAAGCATGTGCCTAGGGTATTTTCCAGACACATGTGAAATATTTTCCAACTTTTATTCCATGAGAGATGGAGCCTCATGCCTGATTCTGAGTTTCTCTGCTTCTGAAGCAAATGCTGTGGTCCTTCACCCTTCACATTATCCTGTCATGTTCGCTTAGCTCAAAATACCAAGAAACTCTACCCTTAGTCACAGCCCAGCATCACTAACAGTTCTAAATTCTCATTTCCAAACTACATGGTCTGTTCATTCATTTTAAACTATGATGTGGTCCAAAGACCAAGGAAACTAATGGACAAACCATCAGTAACTTCAGTAGCACTGAAAAGGGTTTGCACTATGAAAATGACTCATCAGAAAACATTAAGACAAGCTAGCCAAATCCATCCTATCTATTCCAGGAATTCAGTGGCAGCTACTTATCTGAGGAATTACAACAGTCTGAATCTGAAGGAACATCCACGTCAAACAATGGCTTATTTACTGTTGCTGTGAGCCTAGAGGAAGCAACAGGACTCCTCAGAAAAGCATTTAACTTTCACTGTATCCCTGACCTTCCTTGTCCATCTCCATCTGGAAACTCAAGCCTTTAAGCAAGATGTTCCTTGAGAAGCAGAATGAAGCATCTGCTCTTTCATAGTATGGGAGAGAACAGAAGGCTCCAGGGTAATCTTATAGCACCTTCCAGTATCTAGATAGGCTACAAGAGAGCTGGAGAGGGACTTTTTACAAGGGTGTTTAGTGATACAACCAGACAAACTGAAGGAGGGTTGATACAGATTAGATATAAGAAAGAAGTTGTTTACAATGAGGGTGGTGAAACACTGGAGGAGGTTGCCGAGAGATGTGGTAGGTGCCCCATACATGGAAACATTCACGGACAGGTTGGATGGGGTTCTGAGCAACCCTAATTGAAGCTGTCCCTGCTTGTTGCAAGGGGTCTTGGACTAGATACCCTCTAATGCAAACTATTCAATTATTCTACAAATTTAAGGGAAGATAAGAATCCTCACCACAAGTGTAAGCTGAGACACTTGTCAAAATAATTTGATCACATTTGAGAGAAATCAGGAATTGTGAGCAGAAGTGTGCTCAATAAGCCACAGAAAACCACTTATTAATTCAGGTCTAGGATACCAATTGTATATACAATGGACGAATGGAAGCATAATGTTCTAGATTGTTTGCAGCATCTGAACTTCCATTTCATGCTTGTGCAGCCACTGGTGGTATTTTGTAGCCACATCTGGGCTGGTGACGCACTGAGCTCATCTGAACATTTTAGTGAATCATTTATCCCACATTGAAATATCTCTGTTTCTGAACACATTTTCAGTTGGCTTTCTGACAAAAATAGGAGATTTAGTTACCACTTCCAGAGGCAGGAGTGCTTATCAGGCACTGCTAACTGGTTTCCTATCTGCAAATGACTTTTGGACATCGCTTGTTTCAGGAATATATTCAAAGTTTTTTTGCTACCAGTACAATGAGAGATAGAAGTCAAGTCTCTAGAAGCTGATGTGGAAAAGGGTTGTCTTTCTCTTCACGCATTCAGGAACACAAGAGGTATCCTGCAAAATGCTAAGAGTAGGATTTCTGAAAAGCCACTTTGATCCTGTCTGAGCAGAGCAGAGGAGACTCCACTGTCTGAATTAATTTAAGATTTACACTTGCACAGCGCAGAGCCTCCACTGTTCTGTCTCAGGGGCATTTTCATACATGTGAGGGCACCACTGATGATAGGGTCAGAGGCTTTGCTCTGTGCAGACTGTGATCCTCCTGTTATCAGATCTGGCCACAGAACAACAACCCTGAGTGGAAATTCCTCCCTGTGAAGGATGGCCATCACAGAGGTTTCTAGGCCACATCCTCAGGCATTTTTCTGCGCCCATCATCAGGACTGTTAGCACCTGACACATGTTAAAAGCATCTCAGGATGGTGTAACCCAAAGCAAAGAAACCCACCTGATTCCATTAATTGGGCATAACAAGGAGCATGATTTGTGCAGGCAGGTCCCCATGGGTGTCTTCACCAGGTCCACTTGTAACTGTCCACATACCAACCTCAGAGCACTGCTGCTCATAAATTAAAGCAGAACAACATCCCTGTTCCTGTTTCAGACATGTACCAAAGAACAAAAGGTCCACTGGGACACCTGCTGATGGACAGGTGCTCCTGCCAGTGCATGGGAGCATGTGCCTAGGCTGTTGCACTATCTCTGATGCACTCATGTGTGGGCCAATGCACCCATGTCTTGGCCCAGGCATGAATACCATGGCTGATGCACCTGTGAGGTGGTTCCTGTACTCCTGTCCAGGCTTGGGAACTAATGCCAAGGCTCACACTCCCCTGGATTGTCCAAAGACTCTGTGCCTAGGCCAGTGCATCCCCCTGGGATCAATGCACCCATGTCTGTTCCAAAGCATCCATACTTGGGCTTGATGCAGCCCTGCTCGGGTAGATGCACACACACCTGGGCTAAAGCCCCACGACTGGGCAGAAGCATCCATGCTGATGCCAGAGCTCTCTGCGGGGAGTGGAATACCCTTGTGCGGTTGGTGATGTTCCCTGTGCATCGGAAGACCTTTCCCTGTGCGGCTGGAGCCTCCAGCGCGGCTGTAGCCCCTGTGCGGCAGGAGCCCCGCTATGCAGCAGGAGCTCCGGGAGAGCTGGTCCTGCAGTTGGTCTCACCTGGCAGAGCAGGTCCTGCAGGTGCCCGGCGCAGGCGGCGTAGCTGTGCCCGTCGAGGCGGGCGCTGAGGCGGTAGAAGCGCTGGAGCAGGGCGCTGTCGCGGCGCGGGTCGCAGCAGCCGAACTCGGCGTAGCGGCGGCAGAAGGCGAGGCCCCGGGGCGGCCGGAACGGCGGCTTGAAGTCCAGGCACTGCGGGTGCGGCCGCGCCGGGCGCGGGGCGAGAGCGGCCGCCAGCAGCAGCGCCAGGGCCGCCCCAGCCCCGCCGCGCCCCGCAGCCCCCCGCGGGCCCCGCATGGCGCTGCCCCCCGGGACAGCCGGGACAGAGGTGGACGCTGCCGCCCGCCCGGAGGCTCGGCCGGCCCCGCTCCGCCCGCGGGAGAAGGGGCGCGGAGAGCGGCCGCCCCGAGGTCTGTCAGCGCCGGGACGGACGGCCCCGGGCTCTCGGGGTCGCGGCGCCGCTCGACGCACGGACACGCTTCGGTGATGGCTTTGGACGGGCGATTTTGGTTTGATTCCGCCCAGAGAGCAGCCGGGCAGGTACTTGACTGGGCAGTCAGCACAGCGTGTCACACAACACCAGAGTGGAGCATACGACACCAGAGTGGATCGTACTGGGAACAAATTCCCTAGGCTGACTCCCCAAGTGTTGGCTGCTGAGCTCGGTTCTGTCGCCGAGGCTTTTGTATGACCAAAACACTAAAGAATATAGTGCTCGGCGTTTATACGGCCGATTGACATATTTAATAACAAAATTTAGCTTCAGTACAACTAGTGCTTCTGCATCCTTTGGCAGTCTCGTCCTGGGATGAGACTCACTGGTGGGGTCTTTATACCGTGTGGCCCCAGACAGCCCAGGTGACATATGTTGCTCTATGAAGATATTCCCCCATTCAGAATAGTTCTCCCTCCACGCTGTCCAGGAACTCTTTGCCTCCCCCCCCCCCCCCCCCCCCCCCCCAAATAAATCGCTGATGACACTTTTCTTACCCTAAAGTGCCTCATGGCACACCCTGGGAAAACATTTACTCGCAGTGGTGGATTTTTGCACATCATATAGCCATATCATATGTGATGTTATCAGCTAGTAAGATCAAGTCCCATGTAGATGGCACTTTTTTTCTGTTAAACACAGCTAGACACAGTGTATTATGTGTTTTAATATTAACACACAGACTGCCCCTCAAAGACAAAGAATGTGGAGTTCATGCTGATATGCTATTTTTGACTCCTGCTTTGAGACCAAAGAACTACTGTACAGTGCATATGGACTATAAAATTACTGTGTGGCTTGGAACATCCTGTCAGGAGACCATATGTGTTACAGCATTTAATAGGAGTTTATTTTCTCTCTGTATGCTTATGTAACTGCTGCTAAGGTCACTAAAAATTCTGCAAATGTGCAGGCAACCGGAACACCTGATGATCTCACCTGAGAATTCTCTGCCCTTTTATTTTTGGTCATTCAAACCCACTTTTTCATGGATGAGCTCAGTAAGTGCATTGGAAAGTACATGATCGAGCTGCTGCCCCCAAAAAGTTTGCGTGCCGTGCAAAAAATGAGTATGCAGTTATGCAACCCCATATTGCATAAAAAACCCCTGATGTAAACGCATCTCCCTCTTCATCCCAGCTAATCTTTTATTTCTGTTGTTAACACTGGCTGCTGTTTCAGTGTCTATAATGATTTTTAAACACTGTTAATTAACACTGCAACAATGCTTAATATATAAAGAATGGATTGCAGTAACCAAACATATTCTGGATAATGAGATTTAACTTTTAGCCTCTTGATTTGCTATTGAAGTTCTTGATTAGTTTGGCATCCATGAAACATTTCAGAAATGAAAGGAAAATTAAATGCTGTGCATACTTAGCAGTGATTTGTACAACAGGAACTATAGATTTGATCTGCTCATCACTGCAAAACAGCACAAAATACCTTTGGTAAGTCCTCTGTGTGCATTTGCAACATGCCAGAGTTGCCAGTGTTTTGCTCTTTCAGGCAGGGCAATTTTTTGGTTACCCCTCAGGCTGGGGACTGCACCGCAGTTCATGGGCAAGGCACTGCTGAAGCAGAGACCGTAGCTGCCTTGGCCTCAATAACGAGATTGTTATGTCAAAGATGGATTATTTTACAAGCTGTTGTGAGATGAGTTTAGAGGCTTCCCAGGACACAGGTAGAAGCTCATGGACTGTATTTGAGGGATCTGTGGTGTGGTGGGTAGAGCACACAGCTCTGGCTTTTCTTCCCAGTTCTGCCTAGATACTTAACTTACTATTCCCAAGACACTATCTTTCTGCCTGGATTCTCCCATTCATAAAATGAGGACAGTCAATGCTTACCCACCCTGGAGCAATCTTTCAAGATCTAGTTTATTGATATTTTTAATCACCATTTTGTTATTTTTTTATGAGTTCTCTGGAGAGGCATCTCTAGAGACTAAGTGCTGGCGGGGAACTGCTGCCCTTGACCTGATGTGCTAAGTTTGAAGTCTCACCCGTTCCTACTCGAGGGCAATAACATGCATCTGTAGAGCAATTGCAGAATGGGGATGAAGTATGATTTAAGCAGTATTCACCAAGATCACATGGTAGTCTGAGAATTTGACACTCAGGAGGCTTTATATTAAAATGACTCGTTTTTAATTTGGATAATTTCAACACTTGCCTTTGAGCCTAGTGACCTGAATCAATCAATTGAACATTTTGTGCTGTATATCATCTTTTGGAAAGATATGGTTTTGGTTTGTTTTCTTTCTTCTTTTTCTTTTTTTTTTTTTTTTTTTTTTTTTTTTTTGGTTTTGTTTGTTTGGGGTTTTTTGTTAAGATATTGGATGGTTCCTATTCCCACTGAAGTCCATAAAAGTTCTACATTTAAAAAATGTTGATAAGTTTGGGGTATGAAACCTGAAATCCTAGCAATGATCAAAGCAACTAATAGTTGTAGATACCCTGAAACTCAAAAACACTGTCTTATATCCCTCAAACTGAGCTCCTTGAATGTGCAATATCCAGATTTTTTCACTCTTTCTGCATATGTTAAAATTTGTTAGTGTTCATGGCACAGAGGAAATATGGGCACACTGGTTAAAAATGTAACCAAATTGCATTTGATCAAATGACCGATATTAGACCCAGTGTCTGGAACTCCATTCTCAAGAAGAATTTAATGCTCTGAGTTTTAATTGCCAGAAGATACAGTGCTCATAACCAAGTCAGCTGTGAACACCATCCCTAAAAACATAACAGTCAGGAATTAAATACAGAGATATAGCTCTTTGTAAAGGAAATTCAGCTTTGCTTTCTCAACACACATCTGATCATGAAACCCTTCCGTTCCTCATTTGTCTTCTTAGTGTTTTATCTTCCTTACTGGTGGAGATACTGAGGGCACATTATTATTATGAGAATGAAACAAAGGAAATGTGTGTGTGCTTGTACACAGCATGTACACTCAAACCCATGATGGGAGCAATGTAATGCCTGAACAGAACAGAACCCACATTGAGCAGTGTGGAAGTGATCCGATGGCATGGATCCAACTGCTCATTCGCACAGCTTTTAGTATTTTTAGTTGGAAAAAAAAAATATGAAGTCTTTGGAAAGATGAAAGAATAGTTTTATAGCACAGTCAAAGCCGAATGGGCATCTTCTATTTAAGATGATTTGGCAGCAAACACGAGTACATGCTGCGCAGGAGCTGAAGTCACACTGGCTGTGACAGGCCTACCAACACATTTTGATATTAAGGAGTGGTTTAATGCAAGAAACCCAAGAAGCCAACCCAGTGCAGGCGGTATCATGTGCTATATCAGGAATACTGTCAGAGGATTCGATAAGCGGGAATCCCACTGTGTCTTGGCATGCTGGGATGACTCAGATATGGAATGAAATGTACCACTGCAGCATCAAAGACCTAATTTCTCCTGCTAATGGAGCCACACGAGTCTTTCACATCCTTTAATCCTGTTGTGATGAAGCACCTTTGGCAATACCCTCTGGTACACATTTCTGGGCTCTGTGTCATGTGTCACAGCAGATGTTTGTACAAAACACTGGGGCAGCCCTGCAGACGAAGTAAATTAGCAGAGCTCAACACTAGCATATAATATACAGGATTTCCACATAGGTGGCACACTGCTAATGCTTTTCCTGTCCTTCTTATGCTGATTTTATACACAGGTAGGATGTAAAACGTCAGTTTTACGCACTCAGATAATTGCTTTTTTGCTTCACAACTCGCTACCACAGAAATTCTAATGTCAGAGCCCATATGGACAGTAAACACTCCTTATGTGTTGCATGTGCAGAAAGAACATATTTTCTTATCAGCTCACACAAAAGCAGATCATGTAGAAATGATTTTTAAAAATTACCACTATTTTCCCAGCAGTAACAGCAATAGAACAATAAGTAACAACCCTTGAATGGGTTCTGTCTATTTTACAGCGCATATATCTTTTCTCCTTTTTGGTCACAAGAGAAATAATAAAGGCATTAAAATGTATGTTTCTTTTCAGAAAGCACTCTATTGATTTTATGTAACATCTGAGTACTTTGTGTTGTAACTTACATATAACCATATAATTTGTCTCTAACAAGAAATAGACCAAAAGACTTGCTCAGTGAATTGTACAAATGAGCCTTTCCTCATCAGTGATCCAAAGCATAATAAAATACCCCTCTTTTTCAGTTCCCTCTGAGAGGTGAAAAAACTCACTTACAGAAGCAAGCATATTCCACTGAAAGAAAAGGTGATTAATCATAGCTGGAGCCCATACTGAAAAGGAAAAATCCCATTTGGATCCATGCCTTTGTCCCAGGATCATTCAGTTCCATCTCTAGTTTGGAGAGAATAAGGGTTTTTTTGATTAAGGACCACAAAAATGTTACTTTGTTGGAACAAAACTAACAGCAACCAATGCTCCTACACCACCACCGTTGAAGGACAAAGAGCTAATAAACAGGTTTTTCACATATATATTCACACTCTAATAGTTGAAAATGCAAGTCATATCCAATACAGTTCAAGCTGTAACTTGATAAATTCTTCCCCAAAGTAATCAGACCATGCAGCACAAGAGAATGGATGCTGGTCTAAAACCAGAGATATTACAAATTTAGTATTTCTGAAACCTTTCTGAGAAACAGGATACACTGGTAGCTCAGCCAAGCCCTCAGACATGTATTTCGTAAGAGACATATCTGCAGGCCAAATAAACTTTCAGGAAGGACAAAACAGAAGAGAAAGAAAGAAGCTACAAAAGTCCATGTGGATAACCTAGTGGGTTGTT